TTTATTTTTTTGTTAGGGACTGTTCTTTACTAATCGGAGGAGGGGAGGATAGAGCTGGGTGTGACTCTATTCATTTATCTACCTATTTATTAGGTGTATTTGTTAATTTGTATTTTTACCTTCCTTGATGCTACAAATATTTTTCTGTGAGTGACCTGGCTAAAATGACCCTCCCTCCACCATAAATTAGTTGTTAGATTTTTAAGAGTTACTCTGACTGCACTAACTAAAAAACACTTTTAAAGAAAATTAAGTTTTAAAATACTAATAATAACATGTAACATAAATCTAATATTATAGTCTACTTTATAAAGCAGTTTGTACTTCTGGTGCAGGACTTTTATTGGTGATGAAGTATTTTATATTGTTGTCTCATTATTTTGACTCCAGAAAAGTATCTGAATCTTAATAAAGTAGGTTTGTAGTGTTTTTCTTTTATCTGAAATGTAAAAACAAAAACATTTAAAAGACAACACCGTGCTTTTACTTTGACGGTAAATCCCCTTTACTTCCGGTGTCGTCGTGTCTGACTGATGTTGACGCATGTGACGCATCTGACGCGTCCACGCTGCAGAGTGAACGCAGAGTGAAGCGGCGGCGCGCCCCAGCGGCAGAAATACAAACTGCAGATTTACACTGAACATCTTCTCTGGTGATTTATTTCATTTTGACAAGTCATTTCAAGTAGACATATTTACCCCAAAATGTGATGTTATTTATTAATTTTATTTTGATATTGATCTCAAGTAGATGTGTATCCAAATATCTGATGTTGTTTATTATTATTTGCTCACTTCAAATAGGAGTTAAAAAGAGAACATGAGGCAAAGAAACATTAGAATAATTTGAATATTACAAGCAACTTTGTTATTGTGAAATGTAATTGCTGCTGTTGAGTACACACACACACACACACATACGTATATTCAAAACAGTAGATCCAGATGTTTGTAAAATAAGAAAATAAAAATAAATCAGAGTTGGCTCGACATTAGAGGGACTACAGATCCCACAAAACAACTTAGAATTTTTTATATTTTAAAATTCTAGGAATTTCCAAGTCATCAAGTTTTTTTTTGTTTGTTTTTTTTTTTTTTTTTACATTTTTTTTTATTGGACTTAATTTTCTACCTTAATTGTGAACACTAGAAGATACAACGTTTCAATTCAAACCCCTTGCATCCTGAAATATGTTAGTAAAACACACTCACTGGTCACCTTATTAGCTACACCTGTCGAAATGTACATTAATGTAAATATCTAATCGGCCAGTCACGTGGCAGCAACTCATTGCATTTAGTCATGTAACAACAGGAAACTGAGGCTACAATTCACACGGGTTTTCTCACCAAAACTGGACAATAGAAGATTGGAAAAACCACATTCAGATGGAAGCATGGATCCATCCTGCCTTGTATCAACGCTTCAGGCTGCTGCTGCTGGTGTAATGGTGTGGGGGAGATTTTCTTAGTACCAACTGAGCATGGTTTAAACACCACAGCCTACCTGAGTATTGTTGCTGAGCATGTCCATCCCTTTATGACCACAGTGTACCCATCTTCTGATGGCTACTTCCAGCAGGATAACGCACCATGTCACAAAGCTCACATCATCTCAAACATGACAATGAGTTCACTGTACTCCAATGGCCTCCACAGTCACCAGATCTCAGTCCAATAGAGCACCTTTGGGATGTGCTGGAACGGGAGATTCTCATCATGGATGTGCAGCCGACAAATCTGCAGCAACTGTGTGATGTCATCATGTCAATATGGACCAAAATCTCTGAGGAATGTTTCCAGCACCTTGTTGAATCGATGACACCAAGAATAAAAAAGGGGGTCCAACCTGGTACCAGCAAGGTGTACCTAATAAAGTGGCCGGTGAGTATATTTACTGTATAAAGTCAGTATATAAAAATGAAATGTCAAGAAGTCAACACTGATTCAATTAATTTCAGTTAGGGAATTAATTGCTTTTAAGAAAGTTTTTATTTTACTTTTTTTACTTTTTTTTTTTGCTTCCATACAAAAAATGTCACCATGATGCATTCAGGGACTATGTATAGGAAAGTTTAATATTTTGGCTCCTCTCTCAGTTGTCTAAGTCTAAAGCTCAAATTATAAGTTAAAACAAAATCTTGTTTTATTTGCGTAATTTAAAAACCAAGTCAAAAGTCAGAAGTTTGTATTTAAACTTTATTTATATTGAGTGTTGCATGTAATGTGAGGTGCCTTCCTTCAGAGAACATTTATTTACATCGGAGGTTCTTTAACGCGTACAAAAATACAAATTTAGGAAAAAAAGGAACCCTCGACCCAACAGAACATCTGTACACTGTACAAACAGCAACACAAGGAGAAGTAGCTTCATCTGATGCTTTTAAACACCAGACTGGTCCTTTAGTCGTCCAGGTGATGCGCCAGCTGTTTCCTGTAAACAGTCTTAGTATTTTTATTGTTTAGATACGAAGAACTGACCTAACCTCAGACTCTTTTTATTCCCCAAAAAAGAAATAAAACGTATTTATTCAGCAGTTTAGCGTTCAGACGATTAATAAAAGTGTTTTCTTTAAAACAACACAATACTTCATCTGAACATGACCGAGGTGTTTCTACTTCCTGTTTGACTTAACTGAAAGCATGTAAATGAAAATCCTTAAAATGAAAGCCCGTACACTCTCTCTCTCTCTCTCTCTCTCTCTCTCACACACACACACACACACATCTGGCAGAAAAACAAATGTAAGATTTAGTTTGAGAAACAGTGAGTCAGTGTTGCTGTAATATGACAACTTTTTAAACAACATCTCAACCTTCAACCCACCTCCTGCCTCAGATGATGCTACCTCTGCAACAAAAAAAGATCATTTTTCTTGTGATGTTGCAGGGTTTCACTGATTTGTGGCGGCCCGTCATGATTAAAACAACTGCCGCCACGTTTCGATTCTCTATCTCGAGCTGGACCATTCATCATAAACAGACAGAGGCAAACAGAAATTGAAACTTAACCGTTCACTGCGCTGGGTTTAAGTTTGCTTCACAAACAACTGCTCCTCTCATCCATTGATCTCATCTGAGCGAATCGACTGATCAATTATCCATTCGCGACTTAAAACTCCACAAACTGCTGCTGAGAAAAAAAAGGACAATTTCTGCCTGTGCTGCGTTCACGGGTACAACGTGATCCCACATCGCATTCCAGTACCAACACTGCAATCAACCAATCACAGCCCTCTGACAGCATCAGTGTGCTGCTCCTGTGCTTCTTCAGAGCTAAGCTGGTTTTCCAAAATAAAATTCATACAACTGAACAAAATCCTCAGAAACATTGAACAAAAACACTGTTAGCTACTGGAGGGTTAGCAAGTTAGCTTGCTAACTAGGTTGGCTATGCTAACAAATAAGCTTGCCTCAAGGCTAAAATATCAGCGAGTTAGCTTGCTAACTAGGAAGGCTATGCTAGCAATTAAGCTAAAATAGGCTAAAATGTTGTTCACTAAGAGTGTGGATAATTTAATATTTCAGTTGCAAATACCTGCGATTGACATTTTCCCTCCTTTTTTAGCCTTTCAAAAAGCCTTTTTTTTCCCTCCAAATTTGCAGAATGCTGTTTAATAAAAATAGCTTTAAATAGGAGGGAAATGTGTCCTTTTCAGGTCTTTGCAACTGAAAAATGACATCATCCTCACTCCTAATGTTAATGAGCAGTATTTTAGGCTATTGTCAAACGGACTTGTTAGCATAGCCAACCTATTTAGCAAGCTAACTTAATTATATTCCAGCCTGTTGGCAAGCTGACTTGTTAGCATAGCCAACCTAGTTAGCAAGCTAACTTGCTAATATTTTATCTAGTTACTGAGGATTTTTTTTCCAGTTGTACTAAGTTTAATTTGTAAAACTAGCTTAACTCTGAAGAAGCATAAAGCAACTTTGACAGAAGTGCAGGAGCAGCACACTGATGATGTCAGAGGGCTGTGATTGGTTGATTGCGATGTTGGGCCAGGAACACGATGTGGGTTGTTGATCCAGGAGCATGTCCTATTTGGCAAAATCACGACTTGTGTGTTCATGAACCCAGAAAAAACTCAGAATTTAGAGAGGGCACACAGGCAAAAAACCCAACAAAAAACAACTGAAAAGTTAAGCCGCCCCGTCAGCTGCCGGCACACATAGATTTTCCTTCTGTGGGAAACACTGATGATTTTTCTCAAAATATTTCCACTTGATTCTCCTAAGTGCTCCTGATACACAACAAACAAAGTAAACAAAAGTAAAAACTGCAGTTTGATTTTCAGAGTCTCTGCTTCAATAGAAAATATGAAAAACATAAAAGTTTAAAATCAACCAGAGCGGAAGCTACTGGGTTTTTACATTACTGAGGTCTGCACACGCGCGCGCACACACACACACACACACAGGTCTTTGGATACCACAGAGGCACTCAATACATCAGCAGTTGTCTGACTGAACGTGGACTCAAATTTCTTCTGGCAACAATCTTCCTATGAGACTAAAGAGCAACATTCATGGCAACTGAGAATCGTCAACGTTTCCCCAGAAAGTTGCCGTGGTTGCACATTGCTTCCTTCAGAAGGAGCGTCAACTGAAACCCGAGCGGACGGAGCTAGACTTTAAATTCAGTGAAATGTAAAGACAAAAATAAATAAAACAAAGGTAGTGAACATAATCTCTGATCGTCTGTAAACATCAATAAAGTGTCGTCAAGGCAACAGCCGGCCGTCTGATTGGCCCTCAGGTGCGTCAGGTGTTTCTGCTCTAGAGGAAGTAACTCGACACAAACTGCCGCTGAAATGAAATTCAAAACAGCCAATCAGAGAACAGCTTGCAGGGGACCAATGAAGTCCTAACTCTGCTGTGACATCATCATCAGTCAGTGTGATGTCAGCTGATCCTAACTCTGCTGTGACATCATCATCAGTCAGTGTGATGTCAGCTGATCCTAACTCTGCTGTGACATCATCATCAGTCAGTGTAATGTCAGCTGGGTGGGTTTCCTCTCAGCCCCAGAGGAACCAGCCTTGGCATCGGCCTCCAGGCCACGCCACCCTCCCTCTTCCCCCCTCCTTCTCCTTCTCCTTCCCCTCCTGCTGCTTCATCACAGCTGGCAGGGTCCGCCACCTTGGCCCCGCCCACCTTCATTTGCAGGAGAGGGGGCGGAGCCAGGACACCACCTTTAGCATTGCCATTAACAGGTCCAAGCTGCGGTCCACCAGGTGTCATGTCTGTGTGATCAATAACCGCTGCCGCCCCCATCTCCGTGGCAATGGTTTCATCAGAGTCAGAGTCCAGCTCCAGGAGCCAGGGGCTGTTGGCGCGTCCATACTCCTCATCTTCGTCCATTACATCATCCCCTGGGGATGGTTTCCCTGATAAAGGCGTCTCTGCCGTGGTGACGGTCTGCTGGTTGAGGAAGACGATCTCGTTGAGGAGCGACGTCAGACTCTCGTCATCTCTGGTCTCCTGCTGCGGCTCTGCCCCCACAAGCCCTGCCTCTGTGACCTCAGCCTGACGGTCAGCACTCGCTCCTGGGCAAGGAGTGGAGGAAGGGTCCTGGGTGGAGGGTGGAGCCTCAGATGTAGTGTCAGTGTGGAATGGAGGCTGGTCCTGGTCTGTTATCGGGTCTGATCCAGCAGAGACCACCAGGAGGGGAGCAGGAGGAGAAGGGGGTGGACCCTCTGGGATCTGCTGCTGCTGGGGAGGTGGTGGCGGCGGCTGTTGTTGTTGTGTTTCTTGTGGTGGCTGTAGTATTTGTTGTTGTGGTGTTTGTTGTTGTTGTTGTTGTTGTTGTTGTTGTTGCTGTTGTTGTTGTGGTGGTGGTGGTGTTTGTAGGATTTGTTGTTTAGTTTGTGGTGGTTGTTGGGGTTGTAGTAGTAGCTGTTGTTGTTGTTGTGGTGTAGTTGATGGTTGAACCAGCTGCAGCAGGTTGTTGAGGTCTGTGGCTGTAAACAAAAACAGTGAAGATTAGCCAAGGTCAGAAAATAAAACCAAAAAACATCTAAATGACCTTCAATAAGTTAACGAGTCAATCAGTGAGCTGGTCAGTAATAATCAGTCAGCAGGTCTGTTAGTAAATTTATTTAAGTTAATGAGTTGGTCAAGTTTAGTTAGTTGGTTAGGTTTGGTTAGGTTAGTTAGGTTTAGCTAGGTAGGTTTAATTAGTTGGGTTTAGGTAATTATGTTTAGTAAGGTTAAGTTGATTGGGGTTGGTTAGTTAGCTTTTCGTATGTAAGTTAGCTAGTTAGTCGGTCTGTTATTTAGTTTTTAAGTTACTTAATTAGCTAATTAGTTTTAGTTTGCAAGTTATTTATTTACTTAGTTGTTTTGTTATTTTGTAAGTGTGTTTGTTATATATACTGAACAAAAACATAAACGCAACACTTGTTTTTGCTCCCATTTTTCATGAGCTGAACTCAAAGATCTAAATCATTTTCGATATAAACAAAAGACCATTTCTCACAAATATTGTTCACAAATGTGTCTAAAATCTGTGTTAGTGAGCACTTCTCCTTTGCCGAGATAATCCATCCCACCTCACAGGTGTGGCATATCAAGATGCTGATTAAACAGCATGAATATTGCACAGGTGTGCCTTAGGCTGGCCACAATAAAAGGCCACTCTGAAATGTGCAGTTTTGCTTTATTGGGGGGGTCTGGGGGGGTCAGAAAACCAGTCAGTATCTGGTGTGACCACCATTTGCCTCACGCAGTGCAACACATCTCCTTCGCATAGAGTTGATCAGGTTGTTGATTGTGGCCTGTGGAATGTTGGTCCACTCCTCTTCAATGGCTGTGCGAAGTTGCTGGATATTGGCAGGAACTGGAACACGCTGTCGTATATGCCGATCCGGAGCATCCCAAACATGCTCAATGGGTGACATGTCCGGTGAGTATGCTGGCCATGCAAGAACTGGGATGTTTTCAGCTTCCAGGAATTGTGTACAGATCCTTGCAACATGGGGCCGTGCATTATCATGCTGCAACATGAGGTGATGGTCGTGGGTGAATGGCACAACAATGGGCCTCAGGATCTCATCACGGTATCTCTGTGCATTCAAAATGCCATCAATAAAATGCACCTGTGTTCATTGTCCATAACATATGCCCATACCATAACCCCACCGCCACCATGGGCCACTTGATCCACAACGTTGACATCAGCAAACCGCTCACCCACACGATGCCACACACGCTGTCTGCCATCTGCCCTGAACAGTGAAAACCAGGATTCATCCGTGAAGAGAACACCTCTCCAACATGCCAGACGCCATCGAATGTGAGCATTTGCCCACTCAAGTCAGTTACGACGATGAACTGCAGTCAGGTCGAGACCCCGATGAGGACGACGAGCATGCAGATGAGCTTCCCTGAGACGGTTTCTGACAGTTTGTGCAGAAATTCTTTGGTTATGCAAACCGATTGTTGCAGCAGCTGTCCGGGAGGCTGGTCTCAGACGATCTTGGAGGTGAACATGCTGGATGTGGAGGTCCTAGGCTGGTATGGTTACACATGGTCTGCGGTTGTGAGGCTGGTTGGATGTACTGCCAAATTGTCTGAAACGCCTTTGGAGACAGCTTATGGTAGAGAAATGAATATTCAATTCACAGGCAACAGCTCTGGTGGACATTCCTGCAGTCAGCATGCCAACTGCACGCTCCCTCAAAACTTGTGACATCTGTGGCATTGTGCTGTGTCATAAAACTGCACATTTTAGAGTGGCCTTTTATTGTGGCCAGCCTAAGGCACACCTGTGCATTATTCATGCTGTCTAATCAGCATCTTGATATGCCACACCTGTGAGGTGGGATGGATTATCTCGGCAAAGGAGAAGTGCTCACTAACACAGATTTAGACAGATTTGTGAACAATATTTGAGGGAAATGGTCTTTTGTGTGTATAGAAAATGTTTTAGATCTTTGAGTTCAGCTCATGAAAAATGGGAGCAAAAACAAAAGTGTTGCGTTTATATTTTTGTTCAGTGTAGTTAGTTTGGAAGTTACTTGGTTGTTTTGTTGTCATTTTGTAAGTTTGTGAGTCTGTTTTGTTAGACAGTTAATTAAGTTAGCATATTAGTTTATATAAGTTTGTTCATCAGTCAGTCAGTCAGTCAGTCAGTCGGTCAGTTAGTTACGTAGTTAGTTAAAGTAGTTAAGTTAAATAGCTTTTTGAAAGTTAGTTAGCTGGTCTCTCACTTAGTTTGTAAGTTACTATTGGTTAGTTGTTTTGTTTGTCAATTTGTAAGTTTGTGTTTGAGTCAGCTAGTTTTGTTAGTAAGCTAATTAGTTTTTTTTGTTTATTTGATATGTTTGTGAGTTAGTTGGTTAGTTTGTCTGTTATTTAGAGTGTACATTAGTTAATAAGTTAGGTGATTGTAAGTTTGTTTGTGAGTGTGTTAGGTAGTTAATCTATAAGTTAGTTATCTGTAAAGATTGTTAGTTGGTTACCTGTGAGGGTAGATAATTAAATGAAGACGTCTTAATGATCTTCAGTTAGTTCATAAGTCGATTAGTTAGTGACATAGTTGATAGTAATCAGTTAGTAAATTAATTTAATTTTAAATACATTTAAAAAATGTATTTTTGTGTTGGTTAAGTCAGTTGGTTGGTTAGGTTTAGTTAGTAATTTAGTTGGCTTGTTAGTTGAGTCACCTGTAAGGTTAATTAGTTCGCAAGTTAATCAGTTAATAAGTTAATTAGTTGGTTATTCAGTAAGTTGGTTAGTTAGTATCTTGAGTTAGTACATCTGTCAATTAGTAAGGTTAGTATGTCAATCACTAAGTTATTTCAGTTACCTGTAAGGTTAATTTGTTGATTAATTCGTTGAGTAAGTAAGTTAGTTAGTTGAGTTACCTGTACATATAGTTAGTTAGTGGGTTGGTTGGTTGGTTGGTTGGTTAGTTAGTTAGTTAGTTAATTAGTTGGTCAGTTGAGTTACCTGTTAGGTTAGTGATGGTGAGGGGGGCAGAGCTGCTGTAGATCTTACCGGTTGGGGGGTGGGGCAGTGAGGTGAGGTGGATCTGCTGATTGGCCAGATTGGAGATGTTGAGGGTGACTGAGGCCACGCCTACAGACAGGAAAAGGATGTGTGTAACTACAAAATAAAAGCTTATTGAGGCAGAGAGCAGAATGACTGTGAGGGATCAGTACCTGGTGTAGAAGAAGTCTGCAGTAATGTAGGTGCCGTCATCATTTGGCTGAGGGTCAGGACTGGTTGCCCCGGCAACGCAGTACCGACCAGGGACAGAACTTCTGCTGGTACCACGGCCTTAATGGATTGTGATGCAGCTGGATTCTTACTGCGAGACAGGATGTTGGGGACAGTCCTCGGCCTGTCCCTCACCACCGATACACTGTGGGACACACCAGGAGGAGCGAGGATGGGCCTTGACACTTGCAGGACCCTCTGAGGCTGCTGGACAGGTGCTTGGACAGGTGTTTGGACAGGTGCTTGGACAGGTGTTTGGACAGATGTTTGGACAGGCGTTTGGACAGGTGTGGATGAAGGTGTGCTGGTAGGTGGGACAGAAACAAAAGTGGGAGGAGCCTGTGGAATGCACTGTTGCTGCAGGCTGGAGGATGTGATTATGATGACGTCATCAGTCGAGTCTTCTGTTGGAGAATAACAGGCTCCACCCCCTACTGCTGCTTGCAGCTGATTGGCCGCTTGGAGTCTCTCCTGCATCTCCATCTCCTTCTGTTTGGACGACAGGCGCTGAAGCATGCTCCGGATTCTCTCCTTGCTTTTACCTGCAGCCACAAACACACACGCACAGGTTACAGCTTCACCTTCTGACAACACGTCACACAGGAGTCATTTCTAACAGAAAAAAAGATCCAACAGACAGCGCTGTCCAAGACTTAGGAGGCATCATCACTATCATCTTCATCAACCTCCCCATCACCTGAATCCTCACCTGATCTCTGGGAGACCTCTCTGATGTAGGCGTCTCTCTGCTGGTTCAGACAGATCTTCAGACTCCGCAGTCTCCCATTCTCACTCTGGAGAGTCTGAATCTCCTGATTAGCCTGAAACACAGAAAAAACAAAAAGAGTCTGCTGTGAGGACGCTGTCAGTGTTTGAAAGAACTTTCGTCTCCTGCTGATATTCTGTGTTGAATCAGTTTCCCACCGTGAACTGAGGAAGATATTTATTGAGTGTATTCACAGCCTGAAGCTGCTCGTCTGGTTTCTGTCTCGTACCTGCTCCAGCAGAAAGCTCCTTGAAGTGTTGTTGGTGTTCATGACTGATTGGAGAGCTTTGAAGGCGTCTGCGAGGCTCCGAACATAGGCCAGCTTCTTCACGCTGCTTCTGTTGAGAGAAAACAATCATACACAACATGTCAGCTGATAATCACCTGTTTATTCTAGAAGGCTCACTCTTCTTGTGTGTCTTAAATATTTACTGAGATACATTATGTTGTCTTTACTACAACTAGAAAGCACTCTGTAAAGTTTTAGTTGTTGTCAAAGAAAATACAGCAAACAACATTCTTAAGAAAAGCTTTTAATTTCTAACTGTAACAAACACCTAGAGGAGGTCTGCTACTCTCATCAATACTCCGCATCAGTCCAGTGCTTTATTGATTCACATAGTAGTTCTTTATAACAGTGCATAGAAATAATTTATTATAATTTTATAAAATAAATATTAAAGTTTCCTGAGTAGTAAACAGAATAACATCTCCCTTAAAAACAAATCTAAGTAAAAATTAAGGATGTTCCTGACATCAAAACAGTGAGTCGAGTTTTAAAAGCAGGAGGCAGCATCACAGCTGCAATTAATAATTACAGTATGTTGGTTACTGATTTAATCTGTAGATTATTTTCTCAGTTAATAACAGAACAGTTATGACAGTGAGAAAAGCCCGTTTGAATATCCTGGAGCTTAAAGTGACGTCATCAAATGTCTTCTTTTGTCCAACCAGCATTTCCAAACCCAAAATATTATACTGACTTTAATGTAAGACCAAAGAAAGCAAACACATTTCTCTCATGTCAGAATATGAAATTATCACAGTTGTTGATATAACAGCTTAATGAACAACTTAAATCTTCAATTGATTAATCAAAATAGTTGCTGATTAATTTTCTGTTGATCAAATTAACAATTACTTGACTAATCATTGCAGCTGTAAAACGAATGTAAGGTATGTATCACCTATTCCTAAAATTAAAACTTACCACCACACTAATTCAGTTTCTGGGGTGAAATATTATTTTTAAAGGATTTAAATATATGAAATTAATATGATTTCTAAAAATTTTTGACCTGTTTTCAGTTCAACTTCTAAACAGCCTTGTTTCAGACAAAAAAATCACAACTTTACACAATTTAAAAATGTGTTAAAAGCCTTCAAAATCTAAAACTTACTGCAGTACTGATAAAATCTGTGTAAAAATGTACTGATAAAATCATCTTTTTTTCATTTTTTTTTGTGTGTGAAATTTTGGTTCTCTAAAGACATGTCCCAGATTTTTGTCAACAACAAAAACATAATTCAATCAGACATAAAAGGCGTCAGCTACATCACAAGGACTCCTGCTTCACTTCCTGGTTTCCTTAAAGGCAGAAAAGTTGCTGCTCAAGTTGAGGTGAGCTTTTTATTTTTTGATAAGTTCATTACATTATATTGTTGTCAGATGTGTCTCAATCATAACACGTCAACTCTGTAGCCCTTCTAAATCCAAACTAAATAAGAATTATGGTTTGAAAATGAGTATTTTGATCAGCAGTAAGAGAACTCTTAGCAACTTTGAAAAATAAAATGGCTCCTCACTACTGCTGTGACATTATATAACTTTTTGTCACCTCCGTCAGATCTCACCTCTGAAATCCATCATGAGTGCTATTCAAGAAAAGACTAAATCACTGGAGGGTCGGCCTGTTACAAGGTTTAACAGTCAAGACTTTGATCTTTTAAAAGTATATTAAATTTACTTTAAGTCTGTCCCTCTACTGTTTTAAAATGTAAGAAAAGGATGATGATCATAACTGTGGTGGCAGCTGGAAACTGGATCACGAAGGAAGTGTGTAAAAAATGTGTCAAAGTGTCAGCTGATCAGACAGGAAGTGCATCAGTTCTTACTCTGAGTCCTCCTTCCTCAGGATCCTCGCCAGCTTCTTCTGAGCTGCATTCAGCCGACTGCTCTCCTCCACCGTCTCCACGGTAACGATCTGAACCTCATCCTCCGCCTGACACACACACACACACACACACACACACACACAAACACAACATTATCAATCATCTGTGTAATCAAAAATATATAAATGTGACAATAATGTGAAGAAATAAAACACAGCTCATTATCATGAAATGTTACTCCATCAGCTTTATTTTCATAATAATACAATTTTTATTGGGGGCAGAATTATTATTTTTAGCTGTGATCAGCAGCTCTGTCAGACGATCAACAAAACTTTCCCTGCCATTTGGCGAACACAGGTTTTGCCTGGAGGCTGAAATTTGACACGAAGGTCACAGCTCCTCAAAATTCACATTTCTTTAGACATTTTTATTTAAAAATGTCCTTTTGCAAAAGTCATACATCATAAGTCATAAGACTTTTTTCAGCAACATTGTGAAATAAAACCAGACTTAAAAAAACAGACTAAATACTGATAAAACTAAGCACACTGAGTTTTAATTATTTCCCCAACATTTCATTATTCATATATTTTCCAGTTTATCTCTGTCTATCTCAGTAGAGAATATAACCAATTTGTACCTCTGAGACGGTGACTGCGTTGGTCGTCTTGGTAACAGGTCTCTCCTCCTCAGACGAGTTCTCCGGCTCGTCCGTGTCGTCCAACAGATCCACCACTTCTATGTCCTTACTTCCTGTCCCTCCTCCCTCTGACAGCTCAGGTGATGTCTGACGTGTGCTGCTCACCTGTTTGCTCTCCTCTGAACACAAACACAAAGCTGATGTCAGACAAGGAGGAGGCTTCAAACTAAATATGACCAAATCTACTCCTCAAACAGACTTCGTGAGACATAAAAGTCCGTCTCTGATAAAAGCCTTCTTTAAACAAAGCTGGTCTCTCTGCAGCTGAGCTTAAAAAAAAAAAAAAAAGGACACTACCTGAGATTTTACAGTGTCTCGGTCTCAGGTATAATTGTTGATGTGTTCGGCGCCTCTGCACAGACAATTTTAAAGCTAAATCTTCCTGCTGTTCCTGAGTCACTGACTAATGACAGTGAACAGAGCGTTTCTGGTGACACAGTTCAGTATTCATACCTGTTATTGGAGCGATGATGGCGAGGTAATTATCTCTCCTCTTGAGTAGTTTCTCCTTCTTCTTCTCTAGTTTTTTCTCAGTCCTCCACAGCTCCTGGATCACCTCCACCGACTGCAAAAAACACAACACCTGTTTGTCTCCACACTGTGATAACAACATCAACTAACTTAAACTAACACACTAAGTGACTAACTTAAAAGCTAACTTGCAAAAAATCAACTTAAAAACGAACTCACTAACAGAGTTGATAAGTAACTAACTTACAAACTAGCTTAGAAACGAACTTACTTACTAATAATTTACAAACTGACATAAACTAACATACAAACTAACAAACTAAGTGACTAGATTACAAACCTAACCACTAACTAAATTACCACTTTATTAATTTTCAAACTAACTTACAAACTAAAAAGTTAACTTGCAAAAAAACGTACTTAAAAATCTAACTCACTAACAGACTAAGTAACTAGATTACAAACTAACTCAATTACAAGCTAACTTCCAAACTTAACTAACGAATTAACCAACTTACAAATTTACAAACTAACAAACTAACTTAAACACTAACAGACTCACTAAGTAACTGACTTGCAAACTAACAAGCGGAGTAGCAACTTAGCAACTTATTTATTTACAAACGAGCTAACAAACTTACAAACCAATAAACTAACAAAGAAGCAACTTAAAACAAACTAACTTACAAACTAACAAACCTACTTGCTATTAATTTACAAACTGACATAAACTAATTCACAAGATAACTTACAAACTTAACTAACTCACTAACTTATTTACCAACTTACTAATTTACAAACTAACTTACTCATGTACTAATAATTTACGAACTAACATAAACTAATGTACAAACTAACAAACTTACCAAGTAACTACATTACAAACTAATTTACAAGCTAACTTACAGACTTAACAACTAACTTATTTACCAACTTACTGATTTACAAACTAATAAACTAACAATCTTACTAAGTAACTAGATTAGAAACTAACTTACAAGCTAACAAACTTACTAATTAACTAACGTAAAAGCTAACTTGCACACAAGTAATTTCAAAACAAACTTATTTACAGACTTCGTAAGTAACCAACTTACAAACTAACTTACTAATAATTTACAAACTTACAAGCTAACTTACAAACGTATCAACTAACTTATTTACCAATTTACTAATTTACAAACGAACTTATAAACTAACAATCTCACTAAGTAACTACATTACAAACTAACTTACAAACTTAACAACTAACTTAACAACTTACTAACTCAAAAACTAGCTTATAAACTCAAAAACGTACTAAGTAACCAACTTAAAAACAAACAAATTAACCAACTAAGAAACTGGTAACTGGTACAATGTGTAAAAAGAAGGAAAAACTTGAGAAGAGAAATGAGGACTCAGATAAAAGAAGGGAAAGAGGCAGCGGAACAAATGAACGTAGGAGAGGTGGAAACTTTTAGTATTAACATGTGTTTGTGTTTGTTGAAGAGTTGAACCTTCTTCAGCGTGGAGACCTTTGACGTCCTCTCTTTGCTCAGTCCCACTTCTCTCCTCAGAGCTTCGAACAGCTGCCATAACTTCCTCCGACGCTGCTTCTCCAACATGTTGTGATTGAAACGCAGCTGACAAACACATCAAAGATAAACTTAATATATTCACATCTGTCTGACCAACTTAAAAACATGATGAATCTCAGGCAACTTCTGCAGTCTCTTTTTTTTATGATTTCAAAGTGGATTTATGGACGTTTATTCTGGACTGACATCAGATATTAAAAGGACACTGGTGTTCACTAACTGTAAGAGAAACATTGCCAATTCTTAAATATATATGTTCCTTATTTTTATTTATGATTTTATTTCTATCTATTACAATTTTATTGTATTTTTATTTGTCTCTTGTATGTTTGTATAGTGTTATAATTAAGTACTGTTTATTTTTCTTGAAAATCTGATAAAGTGTGTCAAATGTTTTTAACCTAAATCTCTTACCTGGATGGGAGTCGGCTCTTTCTCTTCTTCGACCGCCGACTCATCACTGAAATCTGACGAGTTCTCCGTCTCGCTGCTCGAATCCTTCACCTCCACCACATCCGGTGGCTGCTTCACCTCGCCCCCTGTTTCTGTGGCGTCAAGCTCTTCCTCGTAGTCCACACAGATTATGTCCAGGTCCAACAGGTTGCAGGCCGGCTCCGGCTTTGGTGGGGGGGCAGGTGTCACCTCTGACTCTGGTGGTGCTGGAGGAGGAGGTCTGTAAGGGATCTGGACGGCAGGTTTCTGGTGGACTATCACCCCATCAGGACCCACTGGGACCGCAGATACCCCACCAGGACCCACTGGGACCGCAGACACGCCACCAGGACCCACTGGAACAGCTGATAATCCACCAGGACCCACTGGGACCGCAGACACGCCACCAGGACCCACTGGAACAGCTGATAATCCACCAGGACCCACTGGGACCGCTGGTACCCCACCAGGACCCACTGGGACAGCAGATAACCCACCAGGACCCACTGGGACCGCGGACACAGTCACTGTTTTGACCCCGAGCTCAGCCCCCTGACCTGTGGAGGGTTTGAGGGAGATGAGGTTCACTGGGGTCGCGTTGGGGGGTTGAGGTTGGAGCACAGTGAAGGAGCCTGGAGCCGACACCACCTTTGGAGGAACTTTAGGACAAGTGATGATCATTGGCTCCATGTTGTTGTTAGCGGGGAGGATTTTAAAGGTGCACGTCCCCTTCTGAGACAGGAAACCAGAGGCAGGGCGGAGCTGGGAGGTGAGGGGGGACACCTTGAAAGACTGGAGGCCAGACAAAGGGGAGAGGGAGGTGAGGGTGGAGGTGGCTGTGGCCGGAGGTGGTTTTTGGTTACCAGCAGTGACGACTGGAGGTTGAAGGGATGCAGCAGGGAGGACTGAGGGCGAGGCTGGAGGAGGAAGGAGACAGTAAACCATTAAAATGAAACCACCTGATTGGTCGAACACAGACCCAGCTGCCCCCCCTGTCAGTCCTGCAGACTCACCTCGTGGAGTGGACTGGTTCAAGTTGACTGATCTCAGCTGGCTGAGGGGAACCAGTCGGACCAATTTACCGTCTGGTTTGCGGTAGTACTGGAGTCCTGACGCCATCTGGACCGGCTGCAGGACGATCCTCTGACCAGAGGAGTAGGCAATGGAGGAGGAGGAGGGGGGTGGTGGGCCGGGTGGCTGGGCCGGTACAGATAGTTTCCCAGGAGCAGGAGGAGGCGGGACCTGAACCATGAACACCTGAGAGCCTTTAGGAGCTGTTGTCACAGGTGGAGCCGCAGAGCTGCTGACCTGAGAGTCTGAAATACACCAGAGACCAGCAGGGACAGTTAGTTACAGATCTACATATCATGGCGAGTTCAGTCAGTCAAATGACTTCTTCTCTGTTTGGGCCCAGCTCTACAATGTAAAACAGGAAATGCAAAAGAATCCACAACAACTATAACAACAGTAATAATAATACAATAATAGTAATAATAATAACAATAACAACTTTCTATGTCCACCATGTGGCGCTAAAGAACACACATACTAATTATACGTCATGTTGCTGTATATCATGTGTAGACCACACCACAGCTCCACAATACAAAAAAGCTACGCAATTAGCATCGTGAAGGCCTTGAGATTCTGCTGCCCAACTTTAAGATGGATCTGTTGAATCCTCTAAGAATAGTTGTTTCATGACTGTGAAGTACCTAAAATGGCTTGTTCTCACATGACCTATGACATCATTGTTCAAGCTATTGACTTTACCTTCATAGTTTACCATCAAATTAGTCTGAAAGTTATACCACCCAAATTTGAAAAGAATCTGATAAACCCTCCAAGAAAATTTTGTAAAGGCTATAATAAAATACACAAAAAATGCATAAAATTCAAAATGGCCGACTTTCAGGTAAGCAGAGCCGAATGTGCACGCCAAATTTTGTGAATATCGGAGTAACATTGAGGCCTTCCAAACGTTAAGGAGCGTTATGGAGACCAATCGCTGCATGTTCACGTAAAGTTCATAGGTGTCGATGAGTACGCCAAGTTTCTTGAGTTTTCGAGCAAAGCAAGACGTCAAAAATGGTTTCAAAGGCAGAGAATACATAATGGGTGCTACAGAGCTGAAATGCCAGGCACAAGCCCAATTACACCGCCAAATAGAAGTAACTGCTAGTTCAAACACGCATGCAAAGTTTTGTGAGTTTCTGTGCATCCTAAAGTTGCACAAACAAACAAATTTCCCACTTAGGAGAGTAAAATTTATCTTATCTTATCTTATCTTAGCTTAAGTCCCCAAATGTTCATGAAATGAAATTTAACACACAAAATCAAAGGTGGATGACTTACTAGCAGGTGAAAAAAAACAAAAGATGGGAACAATGATCCACTAGTAATGAGAAAGAAAACAATGATCCACTGAAATTTCGTGAAAATCACAGGAACTTTGTCTAAACCCTTGCTAGTGTTTGGGGTGCTAGCGAGCCCGCTGGGCACACGTGCCAGTTTTCATGAGTGTTTGAGCATCCTAAGTCTCTAAAAAATGCATCTGCACACTTTCACTTCTTTCATGCTCGGGCCTTAATACCTCTAATGATGATTTTGTCCTCATTAAACTGACCTTTAATATTACCCGACGCGGGGGCGGAGCTTCCAGAAGCTGGGGGTATCACTCTGAACTGAGTGCCTCCTCCCCTTGAACGCGGGTACACCTTCAAAGTGACGACCCGGGTCCCCACCCCCTCAGGTGCTTCACCTGCACTCTGGTCAGAGCAGGCAGCTGATTGGTCGAGCTTCACTGCTGCAGGCTGAAGAACTGTGACAGATAGACGCCCAGTTTAAGATTTTAAAGCTGTAACTTCTGTTATGTACCAATGTATTACTGTCGTTAGAGCTTAAGTATTAAGGTATTTCTGTTGTTACAGTTCACTGGAGCATTCATTAATAAAAGTATTACTGCAGTTAGAGTTGAATTCAACATATCAAACACCAACAACCTCCTCAGTGGATGTTTACCTGTCCTGTTATAGATTTAATTTTCACTGCCATGCTTCTATGAAACTGTGTTAATTGATCTAATGCTAGCACTCCAATGCTAATAACTCCTGTCCCTTATTGACGCAGTAAACTCACTAGCTGACTATCATTAGCTTGCTACCAGACATGTTAGAAAATGGACTTAACCTGTCATATTGCTATAGTAATAAGTTGTTATAAAATAAGTTTTGTGTGTAGCCGTAACTGTTAATTTCTCATGAAAAAAGTACAAAGTTTTGCAGTAATGATGTGTTTTTTACTGGCTGACCAAGATGTTACCATCACCCTGGTTCCCTCGACAAAAAGCCTATGGTATTTTACCACTGGATTTTGGATTACTGCAAAAACAACAACAACAACAAAAAAACATTCTTTATGATACTTGTTTTGTTTATCAAGATAATCCTCACAAATTAATACCACTTTAATGATGTCTGAAGCATAAATAATATTTGAGTTACTAGGCTAGCTACTTGGCTAATGCACAGAGAGCCAAATCTGCTAGTCAACTTCCATAATGTGGTTTGGGTTTTCTGTCTGTACAATCTTGTGGTATAATGCTGTTTCACCTAACTAATGCTAGCTCCCTAATGCTAACTAACTCAAAGTAAAAGTGCCTAACCTACTTTTCCAAACAAATAAACTCAATAACTGACTATTGTTAGCTTGTTAACCGTTAGCTACTAAGTTATCTGTGTAAGCCCATGAACTACCAATAGCTATTGTTAGCTAGTTAACCGTTAGCCACTAGGCTATCTGTGTTATCCTGTGAGCTAACCAACTAATAATTAATCCTGCTAGCTGTTTGTATTTTATACAGAAACATATTATGTATAGTTTCCATCATTGATCTTTATAAAAAGCAAAAACATTTGTCAGTATGATCTGTACAGAAGCATTCTCCTGAGGCAAAAAAGCTCTGTTTTTCTGAATTAGTGAGATTTCTATGTTGTAAATTCTTTGTTCTGAATAAGCAAGATTATTATCTCTTTAATTCAGAAGAACAGAATTTTTTCTTCACGTTAATGCATTATTTCAGTTGATTTAAAAGTATAAAAGTAGCTATAATGCTAACAAACTCATTAGCAAGTCAACGTAACTTAAAGAGCAGGTAAACTCACTAACTAAGCTAACTGCTGTTAGCTTGTTGGCATGGAATAAAAGAAAGCTGTTTTGTTCCTGTTTTTAATAAAATGTTTGTGTGGCAGTTAATGTTAGTTTGACAATCTACGACCTGCTATAGCTAACATTTGCATAGCTTGTCTACATTGTTTTTATTATTATTGCCCGTTAGCTAGCTTATTAACACTGCAAATAATTGATAAATTATTAATTCAGAATAATTACAGTATCTTACTAACATTTTTTTGGTTATAGTTGCTGAATGCAATAATATTTTTGTTAAAAAAATGTTTAGATGTTTTTAACAAGAATACTTAAATATTTAAACACTGCGTCTTTCTTGAAAACAGCTTCAGTGAAATGATGCTGGTTTACTTGATCTATCTAACACATTATTTGGGTAGAGTCTGTTGGAAAATACAGTACATCTGCTGTACGTCCACTGAATGGCAGATACAGGTTGTACAATAAAAATGTTAAGTATGTTTACCTGTCAGGGAGGTTGGGATGGTGGCTGACGGCTGAGATTTGGGTGTCGGGGTGGGAACCACAGAGGAAGATGAGGAGACGGTTGGGGCTGAACTCTGGTTCTGAGGAGGTTTAGATGGTGAAAAAGAGGAACTTTGTGGCTTCTTGTTTAACGCCACCCGACCAGTGAGATACGCTGCCAGGCGGTTCGCCGGATGGAGCGCACCCATCCTCCCCAGCTGGATCTTAGCCAGAGGATAGAGCTTCCCATTCACCTGTTCAAACAAAAAATAATGTCAGAATATCACAAAACATCATTTATTTATTCCAATGTCCCAAGCTTTAACAGTCTGATGACAAATTATTGATTGATTGATTGATTTGATTGACTGAAGTTTATTTTGAACATATTAAAAATAAAAAGAAAAAATAAAAGAGGTAAAGAATACAACAACAAATGATAACAAGTTATCCATGTTCAAAAAGGAGTGGGAAGAAGTCGAAACTTATCTAGTCCCACCCCTTCTCCTACACTAATGATTTACATATATATCATATCTATCCTACTTCCCCAATATTGCTACCACTGATAATAATATTAATCATCATAAAACAATGAACTAAAAAAACATAACTTAGTCACATTATTTTAATTTTTTTAAAACCTTCACACTGTGATTAACACATGTAGACTGCAGTAAAAACCATACGTGGTGTTCTTACCTGGACCAGGTGGTCTGTTCCTCCCTGCTGCTTCTTATTGGCCGAGAGAAAGCCGGCGGGGGAGATTCCTGTCAGGAACGGCAGAGCCATGCTGACCATCATCCTCTTCGTCTTCTTTGACGTCATATTCGTTTCCTCTCCGCCACTCTCTCTCCCATCATGCAGCTGGTGATCTGTTGGCTCCGCCTCCTCCTCGATATCGTCTTCCTCCACCTCTCTCTGCCAATCTTCAAGTGGCTCTGCCTCTTCCTCTTCCTCCATCACCTCTCGCTGCCAGTCTTCAAGTGGCTCTGCCTCTTCCACCTCTTCTTTGTCCTCTGCCACCTCCTGCTGCCAATTATCAACAGGCTCCGCCTTCATGACAACCTGTTCCAGGTGTTCCTGCTCAAAGACACAGGGACGTTTAAAACATCACACAGGAGCTGTGATCAAATAACACCCATCACTCATCATCACGCTATGTCATCACTGACAGCTGTGGAGTCAAATGACCTCTGTATGATGTGACACAGTGCATTGTGGGGTAGCAGACTGTTGAGGACGTGTTGGACTCTACTTTCTTTATACAGAATAAATGAACACTCAGATAAAATGGAGGACGGTAGTTAACGTGACCAACCTGCTGTTGTGTTGTCTCCCTCTGTTTCCTCTGTTGTGGTGGCTTCACTGGTTTCACTGGTTTCTCCGGCTCCAGCAGGGGTCTGGAGATGTGGATCTTGTACTGGATGCAGCGGTTGCCACCACTGTCCTCCACAGTCTGACTAATGGGACTGATGAGATAATTTTTGATCCAGAAAGGTTCGTCCAGTCGGTCCCACGCCATCGCCTCGCACAGATTCTTCAGCACCAGGCTGCGGTCGCTGTCGTTCTCCCACTTACACTCCGCCAGGATGATCAGACGCTTCGACGGCTTCGGAGGCGGCTCGGACGGAGGACTTGGAGACCGGGTGGAGGGATCCAGAGGCAGCAGATCAGCTGCTGATGATAAACACAGAAACCTTAATCATCACTTCTGCCAAGTCTGCAGAGACGGGTTTCATAAAGACTTCACAGATTACTGCGGTGAGTCGGGACGAGCTGACGTCTGTAAACCCACCTGGTGGAGGACTGGAGGGTTTGATCTCTGTGCTCTTCAGTGTCAGGTCTCTCTGTTTCAAAGGCTTCAGCCGAACCTTTTTAGACTTTTCATCTTTAGACGTCTCCTGGAGGACAAATATCAGACTGTCAGATAACAGCATGGTATTAAAACTGTTAAAGGCTGAGTGATACAGATCTTTGGGACATTGAGTTTGTTTCGATTATTTCCAGTTTCTGTATTAATCATCTCTGGTTCTGTTAATCCTGCAACAGCAGCAGCAACTTCCCACCTGTTTGTTCCTCTCCTCCCACCTCAAAAAAACAAATCAATTCTTAGCTGCATCGTAATTCTCTCTTGTAAGACTATGCCACGATGCAGAAAAGTCAGAAACTGATCATTTAAAACCTGATTCTTGACATTATGATCACCTGTAACAACTCTTTAAGACTGGCTCTATGTTCATTAGTGATGAACCAACTGGATCGATAAATGTAACAGACGTAAACATGTCCGCTACTTTTTAGTTCTACTTATAACTGATTGTATTAATAAAAGATAATGGAAGTAAACTCAAATACACAGTTTTAAAAGTAGTCGTACAAGGAGAGAAAACAAATCCGGTATAGATATCAAAAATTTTGACGCATCAAGATGCAACAATGATCGTTATAATCACCTCATCAGCATGGATGTATAAAGAGAACTGGATACGGCATCGGAGGGCGGGAGGGCCCTGTTTTTTCCTATGAAAGTTGCTCAAAAAAACTCAATTTCCACAGTATGAAATTACCCAAATTGTCCACTGGCCAAGCAGCTAACTTGTTTAGTGCTACACTAACTTAAATGGGGATACAATAATTTATCTGCTCAGCTCTTCTAGACTTTCTAAATGTTATCAGATTCAATGGATCAAATTCTGATAGTGAAAGAGTCATTTCAAAGGCACTGTGATGCACTAAATGACCATCTCTGTGAGCCACTCTCTTCCTGCTCTCTCTGTCCGGTTATCACCAACTAACAGCAGCAGTGGCTAACATCTAACATGAGCTGTTTAAAGGCCTCAACAAACTCCCATCAACATCGAAATGGCTTGACTCTGTCCCAGACACAGAGCTCACACTCTCTCAGCAGTAGTCTCATAATAAACAGAGAGGGAGGCTGAGGGAATCAATACACTGCATGCAGCTCTACAATGAAAATTAAATTAGATTTTACCCGCCCTTCCATGCGCATACAAGGAAGGCCTGAGGCAGAGAGAGCAGCAGCAAAGACCCCCCAGAAACAGAACAGGGCAGCATCAATGAGAAACAGAAATGACATTGATAAGTTAGACGCAGCATGACAAGGAGGAGCTGGGGTGGAGGCAGGTTGCAAAGCGACTTGCAGAGGAAGCAGCAACAGTTGACTGAGCTGTTTGAGATCAGCTGATGCCGCTGAGATGTTAGCTGAGCTTGACATCGTGTCCTGCCTGAACCATTCTCGGAACCCATTGGCTGTATTCAGCGTCTGACTTCCGACAGACAGCGATACAGCCTCTGGGGGCAGACCCCCGATTTTCTGGCATTCCGGTTTGAGGAGGTGAATTTCTGTTTCCGACTTCCGTTTATATATAAGTAAATATGCTGAACCATTGCGATGGATTCAGAGTTTGCAGTGATGCCAATTATGTTCCACCTCGTTAGTTCACCGCACGGACCGTTTAACCTGGCAACAACTGCAGCCGGCTCAAACGTGATTGATCAATATCACGCGGACTTCAAACAGCCTAGCACCGGAAACCAGGGCTCTTCTGCTCTTCTCCCGGAGGCAAGATCTCCGGGGTTTGCCTACAGACTCTACATTCACTGAATGTAGAGTCTGTATATAGAGACTATGCCTGAAATAACACTAGGCTCAATTTGTGACGATCGATTTGTGACAAATATCACAGACGCCGACCTTTTCAAGAAGGTGGTTGAAGGGATGGAAGAGTGAGGCTGTGTTCACACAATCCAACAAATCTGTCAATGGTGGAAAAAAATCGTATTTTGATGCTCCAGTTCTTCCACTTTTCAATAGTATGCACGGTTGCATGTGAACAGAAATAATAGTGGAATATTCATTTTCATTATTTAACCGCTTAACTGGAACATTGTCTTCTATGAAGTAAGGGCAAAAACTGGAATATGTTTGTGCAAGTGAACATAGTCAGTCTCCTTCCTAACAGCTGACCTGACATCAGCTCTCATGACTTGTGAATGTGACACACAGACTGAAGGTGTTACCGGTGGATCGTCCTGACTCTGCAGTTGATCCTTTGTCTTCTGTTTCCTGCTGCTCGTCTTCTTCCCTCTGTAAGCTCTGACTCTGGCACAGCTGCTGCCGCTGCTGCTGCTGTCCTGTCGTCTCTCCTGCAGACAGACACAGAGACAACACTGTTATCAAACTTCACTACAATGGAAAAGGCTGTTTGTGTTGGTTAGAAAGAAAAATGCTGTGTTTCATACTGAAGTAAATCTGCAGAGATACTTCATGACTTTACAGGTAGTCACCAGAGGGTCATTTAATTACAGAGAAATTAAACAACAGTGGGGTCGTGGAGTTCATTGACACAGAGAAGAAAAACATAAAATGTTCAGACTGTACTGACTGACTCAGGACATGCACAAGTTCAACATGGTGCTGGTTTCTGGCTGGAACATTTTGAATCCAGAGTATTTCTACATTGTGGTATTACTACTGTTACTGAAGTAAAATATCTGTTATAACTCATTTAACTTTTTTAATTCATGTTTTGGACTGTTGGTCAATACACGAGGCATCAGAAGAAGTAAAACTTGGACTCTAAAAGACCGTGAGGGAAATTTATTCTCTCAGTATGTGATGGCATTTTAGAGTCTGTTCAGTTCTGCTCCAAACATCCACAAGATTAAAAGATTTTATGCGTCACATGTTTTCATGTTACTTCAGGGAAGTAAAAAGGCCAGTGTGCAATAATTATGAGTAAAATGAGAGTAAAACATGAGGATTAGAAAAATAAAACAATACAATGTATTTCGAGCTGTTGTTGGAGATGTTACAGGTGTGATATTAACATGTCACATAAATGTCAGAGAGCTGTGAGGCTGTGTATCAGTATCATACCTGAGGCCTTACAGTTTTCACAGGGGGGCGGGACAGGGCTGCTGGTTTAGGGACGTTGATCGGGTCTGGATCCAAGTCTCCGCTGTCCCTCTTCCAAAGCACCCGGACCCGCTCTGCAGGCTGGGAAACACTGTCCGCCTCCTTCAGGACTACAAGTTCAACACAGCAGAGACAAACAGCAGCTGATCAACATGGAGGCTTTTTTATTTCACATGATGTCACATGATGACAGAGTGAATCAGGGATGCAGTTCCCTAAAGCCAACTGTAAAATTCTGGGCCAGTGCAGATGTTTTTATATTGTCCATTTTGTTTTTGTTTTACTTCTCCCTGCTGACAAGAATTTCAGTGCATGACCTCCTGAGCAGCAGCACCCATGAGCCTCAGCAGCCATCTGTGACTGCAGTCAGAACAAACTCAGCACCACAGCCGCCGAATGGATCAAAACATGTTCAGAGTGAGCCTAAAGCTCTCTGATTGGATGAATCATTAATGAGGCTGAGCAGGTGATGGACTTACTGTAGGCCATCTTCATCCTCCTCTTCCTCTTCTTCTTCTTGACGTTCCCCTGCTGGGAGGGACTGGAGTCAGAGGCATCCAGGTTCTTGAGGAGGACCACCTTCTGTTTGAGGCAGCTGCAGCCCAGCATGCACTGGGGCCGGCCACAGTGACTAATCCTGACGCAGTGGGACAGACTGGAGCACACGCAGCCCAGCCGGCAGAACTCGTTCAGGCAGAGAGGGGCTTGTCTCCGCACCAGCTGGATGGGAGCGGTTGGGTTCTCACTGACAAAACCCTGAGGGGGAACCACAGAAACAAAAGAACCACATTAACAAGAGGAATCACATTCATCGGAGTAACCAAAGGAACCAACTCAACCAGAGGAACCACATTAATCAAAAGAACCACAAGAACCAGAAAAATCACATGAACCACAGGAACAAAAGAAAGCACATTAACCTTACAAATACAAATAAACCACATGATCAAGAGGAACCTGAAAACCCACATAACCAGAGGAACTACAGGAACCACATTAACCAGGGGAACCACAAGAACCAGAAAAACACATTAACCATAGGAACCACATTAACTACAGGAACCACTTTAACCAGAGGAATCACATTACCAGGGGAACCACATTAACCACAGGAACCACATTAACCTGAAGAACCAGGAACCAGAAAAACCACATTAATCAGGGGATCCACAGGAACCAGAAAAAACACATCAACCAAAGGAACTAACTTCACCAGAAGAACCAAAAGAACCAGAAAAACCACATTAAACCTGAGGAACCACATTAACCACAGGAACCACATTAGCCATAGAAACCACATTAACCTGACAAACCACAGGAACCAGAAAAAACACATAAATCTGAGGAACCACGGGCACCACATTAACCATAGAAACCACATTAGCCCGAGGAACCAAAGGGTCCACACTAAACAGAGGAACAAAAGGAACCAGAAAAACCACATTAAACCTGAGGAACCACGTGAACAAGAGGAACCACATTAACCACAGGAACGACATTAACTACAGGAACCACATTAGCCATAGAAACCACATTAACATGAGGAACCACGTGAACAAGAGGAACCACATTAACCACAGGAACCACATTAACTACAGGAACCACATTAGCCATAGAAACCACATTAACCTGAGGAACCACGTGAACAAGGAGAACCACATTAACTACAGGAACCACATTAACCATAGAAACCACAGGAACCAGAAAAACCTACGGGAACAAGAGGAACCACAGGAACCACAGGAACCAGAAAAACCTACGGGAACAAGAGGAACCACAGGAACCAGAAAAACCTACGGGAGCAAGAGGAACCACAGGAACCAGAAAAACCTATGGGAACAAGAGGAACCACAGGAACCACATTAACCATAGAAACTACATTAGCCTGAGGAACCAAAGGGTCCACACTAAACAGAGGAACAAAAGGAACCAGAAAAAACACATTAACCACAGGAGCCACATTAATCAAATTAACCAGAGGAACCACATACATTAAACCATACTTAAGTACAGTACTTGTGTAAAAGTACGTAATTACTTTCTATAATTGCATTTGTGTGCGTCTGACTGATCATGTGCAGTACGCAGATCGTATTGCAGCTCTGGAACATTCATTCAATTGATAAGTCAATCAACAAAAATAAAATGAAAACAAAAGTTACTTATTTTGGTCATTTATGAAGAGAGAATGGATCTTATCTAGTTAATTATATCCTTCCGACTTTTAAAATAAATCTATTTTTAATTTTCTGTGTGTCTTTATTTTAAACTGAAAATGAGAACAGCAGCTTTATATTTCTTAAAGTAAACACACTCAGGTTGTTGTCAGCGTGGACACCTGCAGCTGTGATCTCTTACCATCAATGTAAAAAGTGATGTCAGAGCAACAGTGGCCCTCTCCTCTGTGATGCTGGTCCTAGGTCGCCCTCCCCACACAACCTCGTCCTCCAGGTCCTTCTGCTTCAGCATAGCTCGGGTCATCGGCGGCCCGTTCTTCTGCCTGCTGCTCTCTGTGTTCTGATCGACAGCGGTCCCCAGTTCAGAGTCAGACTCCAGCGGAGCCATGTCCTCTGACACGCCACGCTGGGGGAGGGTGGACTTGAGGGGACTGAGGGTCTGGGACAAGGTCTTGGGTTTGAGCTTCTTCCTATTCTTGGGTTGAGAAGAGAGAGTAAACGGTTCTGTGTTGTCCAATTGGACTTTCAGGCGGTGTTTCTTTGGTGTGTGAGGTTCAGTGACGGGGGATGTGTGTTCTGATGAGAGAGTGGCTGTTGGGACTGTGGATTGTTTAGTGAACAGGTTTGATTCAGCTGGACTGAGTGCAGCTGTTAAGCCTGGTTCTGCACTGTGTTTGTGGTGTTTAGGACCTTTCTGCCTCATGTTTCCTTTCCTTGATGTTTTGGTCTCTCTGACGGGGAGTTTAGGTCTCTTGGACGGGGGGACAAACCCAGATATGAGGTCTGAGGTGGGGAAGCTGCTGGGCTGTTTCTTCAGGACACTGTTGAGGGTTCGAACGTAGCTGGTGCTCCTGGTAGGCAGCTCATACACTACCGGTTCCACCTGAGGCTGAGAGAAGCTGGCGGCTCGCTCATCAATCAGCTTCCCTTCATTCTCAAGATACTCATCCAACATGTCGCTGCAGAACGCAGACAGGTTCTTCTTTGGCGGATCTGAACTGGGACCAGCTACAGGACACAATACAAAAACATGAACTCAAAATAAGTATTTATACCATGTATGTTGAAGTGTTCCACTATCTGTGTTCTTGATAAATCCTTTTTAATGTTGTCAAAGCTGTGAGGCACCTTCAGGTTTGGTTGCTGTTGGAGGGGGAGGAGCCTCTGATGGAGTGAATTTCCCTCTCCAACCTTTAATCTGAGTCACATCTGTTGTTTTTCCTGTCCGTGACACAAAAGCTGCAGAAACACCTGGAGACAAAAAACAGAAAGTTACTGAGAGTCAATGAGAGGAATACTTCTATAGTATGATACTGCACTACACGTTATGACAGAATCAAGAACTCAAGCTTCACTTTCTATGAAATCTGTAAATATGTAAGCTGCCAATCAGCGGCAGGAGCTCCATCTTTCTCTAAACCTGAGTGGGGTAAGTTTGACAGTAGTGACCTTGAGACGGCGGCAGCTCCTGGGTCAGTGGCTCCAGAGAGACTCCAGGAGGGGGGATGGGCAGACGGACTCCCAGGTACTGCAGGTCTATGGCCAGAGTCGGATCCAGCAGGCTCAGCTTCAGACCAACTGAGTTTACAGAGAAAAACAGACTGAAATCAGTTTGGGTCTGTGGGACATCAATCTGTGAACCTATCCGCTATCAGTTTGATGATGATTTGGCATCAGAGGGCAATCGCCAATATTTTGGGGGTTCTAGATAAAAGATATCCGAGCCAAGACATCCTCTTCTGAGCATCAGTCTTTGTTTACAGCCTAATTAGCATCTTGAGATGCTACAGAGTTATGAACACTGAGCTAAGAAAATGCAGGGGTACTTGTGGTTCCTTGAGTCTCCAAAGTTTAATGTGGGCCAGAGCATTCAGCTATCAGGCTCATCTTCTCTGGAACCATCTTCCAGTTTCAGTTCGAAAGGCAGACAAGAATAGACACACCAAACCAACTTCAGAAAGCTATCGGCAACAAAGGCCTCCTGTTGCGTCACCTGATGACACTGTGTCTCAGCCAAAAAAGCTGCACATTAACACACTGCAAAGACTACAGCCGACGGTTGACCATCACGTACGTTCCGTGCGTGCATGAGAGGAAATAACCCTCTACACCAGCCGACAGCAGTTGTCTGTAATTGTCATTCAAGACCGTGCACGTTAGCAAGCATACTAACAACAAATTTCCAAAGTTGAAAGACCAGAGCACAATACTGTGTGCTACTGAACAGTAACACAAACCATCATAAAATGTTTTTGCTAAAGAGCTCAGTGGCAAAAGAAAAATAATCTTACCCAAGTAACAAGTTTGTTTTAGTCTCACTCCCCCTGGACTTTAGCTCTTTGTTTACTTTCCTCAATTCTGTTTGTCTTCTTGTGCACTGAGCTGAACTGCCAGTCAGAGTATTCCTTTGGCCAACATGCTGCGTTGCCAATTCAACATGCTAAATGGGCCATAAAAAGCTGATGAGGGGTGACAAGGTGATACAATACTGAACAAACCACACTGACGTGGCCGGCAGACGCTCACCAGCAGCCCAACTTTGACCAACAACCAACTGACAGCTTAGTGTATCAGGCCCTTAAGACTTTCCTCTTTGATAAAGGTTATAGTCAGGGCTGGCTCAGGCTTACCATTGACCAGCCCCTAGTAAGGCTGGTATAGGCCTATTTTGCTGGGGGACTACCTATGACACAACAAGCTCCATTCTCCTGCTCACTCTCTCTTTATCTGCAAACATTCACGTTCTATTAATGCACGTTACTAATTTTTTCTCGGCTCCTTTGTGCCCCCTTGTCTCGCAAGTTCTTATGGATCACAGTTGCACTTAGATCATGGGTCGTGGTTACGCTGCTGCCGGGCTCCTGCCTGATGCCTAATACTGCTGCTATCATTATTAGACATACTCCCACTATTAGTATACACTTTTAATTAATAATGTCATGCACATAAACCATCACATTGGTTCCCAACTTGTAGGTCGCAGTCCAAATGTGGGTAGCAGGTCCATTCTGAATGAGCTGAAAGGGACTCAGTTCCTTACATTTGTGCTTATCCAAGGACAGAGGGATGTAGTGTGCTGTAAAGTGTCCAAAGTCAGAGTACAACTTCATATTTTGTAGTAAAGTTCTATGGCAGCTGCTGAAATAATCAGTTAAAACTGAGGACCGAATTCACAAAGAATGAACTGCGGCCGCTGATAGCAACTTGAATTGCACTTCACTTGCACCCGCAGTTTGCTCCGTCTTAACGTCCTATTCACAAAGGATATTGCGCTAATGATATACCAGCGCAAACACGCCCACAAAGTTTGCCAGCTGAGTGCAGTTTGCCCCTGATTTGGCTTTGCGCCAAGAACACCATGGCAGAACAATGGCAGACTTTGTTTGGCAAAGTACTGAATACTGTATACCCTCATGTAGTGATGTCTGCTGGTGAGTCAGTCTAACAGTGTCGGATGGGTTGAGGCTGTGGATTTGACCAAGTTTGACCACTTTATCACTATTCCCTCTCACTTGTAGCTGTTTTTTCATTATCTTTTGAATTTAATATGAATTATGGAACCGTTTTTGTTCACGTTTGTTTCCCCCATTTCGTAAAATAAATTATCTAAAGATCCTTTTGAAGTGCGTGACAGAAGTGCATTTTGAGAACGACCGCAGACTATCACCTGTTCAACACATCAGTATCTTCGGATGCCATTAAAGTAATAATGATTATAATAATAATAATAACGTCAAAATATTATTTACAGACTGATTTAACAGACGATAACTGCTGCCACAATCACTGGAAAGTCTGGGCGAGAGGCTTCCACAGAGGAGCACCAAGTTTGAAACAGCTTTCTAAAGAAGTTATTTACTTCACTCAAACTGCGTGTGGCTATTAGCGCTGGTGTTAGTGAATTAGACGTTGTTTATCAATGAGGCTCATTTGCATAGAAAGAGGCAATTTTTGCGCCAAATATATGCATATTACCTCATTTAAATACAGGCAAATAACACCGGAGCACCGAGACGCAATCTGCTTGGCAGCGCAGTTAGTGGAGCATTTCACCCTCAGCGCATGCTTTGTGAATTAGACGGTATCTGTTTGCTCCATTTTTACCGGTTTAGCGGCCGCAAAAGCCACGCAATCCTTTTGTGAATTCGGCCCTGAATGTATTACAACATGTCAACAACCTGTCTGAACCTTGAAATAACTTTACTGTCTGTACTTTCTGCTCTCTGCCCTTAACGTGGAATACGAACATTAAAATGATGGTATTTTCAGCATTTCTCTGACTACAGTTGAACATACCTTCCTGCAGCACAGGATGGATCACTTGTCTGTGTCTCATCAGCTTCAAGTCTCTCAGAAGAATCTTCTCGTATGCAGCGATCTTCTCCTCCAAACTCTCTGCTGTCTCTACTGAAGACAAACAACCTCATCACATCCACTCTCCATTAAACATCACATCACACCGGTTTGAGCTTGCTGCATTGTCCAGGATGTGGTTAGCTTAGCTTAGCTCAAACAGTGAGGGCAGGCTGAAGAGTGCTTCCAGGTCAGGCCAAAAGGGCGCTACATCATCAGTGTTGTATTAGGTTTTTAGCTATTGACTTAATATCTGCTACAAAAAAATTAGCATATCTTATAATAGGCTACACTAGCTGTTTGATTCTAGTTCATGTCACGGTAGCTAAAAATGCTAGGTGATGATATTAGTAGTTATATGTGGCTAACCAGTGTGAGTTAATATAAGAACAACATCCTGCTAACTAAGCATTAGCCTCTTCTTCCTGTTAACTGTACTAGCATGACCGTTACCATTCTCAGATGCGTCAGCAGTTTCTTGCAGTTGACATTCAGGTGTCGTCTGAGGCTGTGAGACCGTTCCAACAGAGGAGTCCGCAATGTGAAGTTTGAGGGCCTCCTGAAATATGAGTTTTGGATTTTCTGTATGAGTACATTGAGTAAGATGCTTTATTAGAAACAAGACTATCAGTCAAAAGCTCTGATGTTCGTAACACCTCACAAAAGGAAATGCCTAGACAGAATGAAAAATATGTTGACCATAAAGCTGCGGTATTTACAATTAGACAATTTATTAATCTTTCAGACTTCCTGCAGAAGATGAAAAAATTCTGACTCTTAGCCTTGTTAGCATTACTTTCATTTCTTTACAGTTCCTAGATAAATAATGATTCACGGCAGACGTTGGTTCGTGTTCTCACAGCAGCATTTACAAGCGGACCAGATCAAATGCCTTGAGCGAGAAAGCTGCTCTTGATTGGTCAGAATTTCCATGTTGGAAAAATCCAGGAAGTAAACAAAACGTTGAAAAAGAGTACACTTGGAAGATAAATGCAACACTTTTTAATTTCACAATGGAGGGATAACTACGCAGGTTGATTTTAGTGCTGCTCATCGTGGACTATATTGCTGTCATTGTTCATTTTAGTCAAACCATACAGTTTGAAAACGAGGCGCGGCTCCAACTAGAAAACAATGTTTTGATGCATTGGATGTGCTGAATGTGCATATTAAGGCAGTACAGGAGGAGGTGCACATTAATAATCCTCCAGGACTGTAACATGCTCATGTTTAACCCAAACAATGTGTCATGTGACTGCAGTTGGTTCAGATCCAGGTCGGAACACCTTCTCACCACAAACGAACCGCACCAGAGTTCATTTGTAACCAGACTGAGACCACCTCTTCAAGAAGGTCTCAGTCTGGTTGTTTTGGTGCACACCTGAGTGTGATTGCCGTGTTCACACCTGCCCAAGCAAACCGCACTGAGGGGGCAAACAAACTTGAGTTTGACTGAATCAAACCAAACAGAGCAGGTGTGAAAGCACCCTTAGATTCATAAAATATCTTGGACGAAGGGAACTTCAGCTGCAGGGGCATATCCATTGGGATAGAGCTTTATTGCATCTAATGATGGAGCAGATGATAAGCGGACGTAATATTATGTTTTGCCCAGGATATAGGAGTGGCTGCAGCAAACCGACAACTGGATGTCCACCACCATTGAAAAAGAAATATTTTGAAATTTTGGCACACGCAGTCCAGAGAGAAACTGTCTGAGGAAAGAGTGCGCACATTCCTGTAGCTCCTCATCATAATTGCCAGAATAAATGATCAAATTGTTCATATCTGCAAAGCACAGATATTTGACATTTTTACCTCATTAATGAATATGTTGAAACTTTACCTTTCAACAATGCTGGGGTTAATGATAGGAAAAGATTGGTTTGGCTTAAAATACCCACTTTTGGTGGTACAATCATGGCTGATAATGCCCCCGATATCCTGCTTTAAAAAAAACAGTGTAGTTGCTTGTTGGTCTTGAACAGTGGTCTGCAGCTGGCAGCCGCCTTAAACATATATAGTGATGTGCGCACATTTATACTGTGCAGAACCCCTAAGCAAAAATTTGTTCCTGTGGGTATGATCATAAACTGAGAGAGTACTTTTTATGTGTTAATATATAGTTTTTTAGGATAATCCTGCGTAGTATGCCTTTACTAATGTGCTACAGATAAATTATTGTGTCACATGAAAACAGATTATATTTTATTTCATTTTACCTTTGAGGTGAATGAGATAAATAACTGTTCCTCAACTTCCTCCAAGTTAGGCCTCATGTTAGTGTAGGTGGCAACATCCATGTTCTGATCTACATCTGTCTTGGCAAGCTTTTGCCGCTGGGACTTCTTTTTGCCCTTGCAGGGTTTTTTGGCTGGTTGCACCTGCTGAGAAGGCTTGCGTGTATTTGCCTCTACTGCACTTGGAGGTGGGCAGGGAGCAGCTACTGCCTCTGTGTTTGAAAACTCCACCTCCATCCCAAAGTCATCTTCGGTGGAGAAAAAGTGCACAAGGTCTGCGATTGAAGGCGTGGGTGACAATGCATCTCCATCTAATGAAGAAAAGGTTGGAGACAGCGGCAAGTGAAGTGCAAGGGGGGACAGCTCTGCAGGGAAGGGCAGGGATTCATTTTCTTGAAATGATGGAGCAGAATCAGGGGGAGGTGTGGATGTGGATGTGGAGGTGTCGAGAGTCTGTGGTTCAGAGTGGGAAGGAGACTGGGAAGGCAACAAAGGTGACGGAACAGACTCTAAAGGAAGAGTCTGTGTTGTAGGTTGAAATGTTGTGAATGAAGTGTCCATGTAAGGCCTACTTTGAGGTAACACTGTGTGCCATTTAAACACAGAGGCAGCAGAGTCTTCACTTTGCTGCAACTCTTTGGGAGATACTGCTTTTGGAGGTGGTTCAGAAGTAGTGGAGTCAAGATCTAGAGCTAACAAGATGGGCAGGGAAGGTAAGGGTTCTGGAGAGCTTGCAGGGGACAAAGGCTCAAAGCCAAATGAAGAACACTCTGGGTCAGGTAGCAAAGAATCAGACTTCATAGTTGGTGAGTCTGAAGGTAGTGTGGAAGACTCAGTGATGGTTGGTGTTTGTGGTGAGTTTGGGGCAGGTAACACTGTGTCGAGGGTTGGTGACAAAATGAAAGATGTAGAAGAGGTAGCAAGAGTTGAAGAAATGGTGGATACAGATGTCCCAAGGGTACAAGATGGCTGATCTGAGTTGGGTAACACTGGTGTACCATCTTGTACTGCAAGCTCTGAGCCTGTGCTTTCAGCAACTGAAACAGAGTCCAAGAAATTAGTTCTTTGTCCCTTTCGGTCTGTAGTGGCAACAGGACAAAATGGACTGGAAGGCTGATTCAAAACCATTTCATCTGGTCTAGGAAGTGCAGCAGCATGTCCAGAGTCCTGGTTGTTGGACTTTGTGATATATCCAGTTAGGTCCTTCCATGGACCAGCTGCTTTGCGGTCTTGATCAGAAGGCGAACATGCAGGATTTGCAGCAGAACTCTGTGAATCAGACAGAGATTCCAATGGGAGTGCTGCAGGAGAAGAGTCCAGCTTGCTCTTGGCTACTTTAGATTTTGCTGAATGCTGCTTCAAAAAAAGAGCAAGAGCTGGCAGAGGCAGAGGCGCTGGCCGTTTATGTTGCTTTACTTTCACCTCTGATGGAGCTTCAGTCTTACATTGTTGGTCTGAGTCACCAGAGGAGTTCTGGGACACTGCTGGAGCAGCAACATTATTGACTTCAGACTTTAGAACTGTCCCAACATTGTCTTTGCAATTCAATGAATTCAAAAGGTCCTTATCTCCCTTAACTTTCCTCTCTGATACAACAACTTCACCCTTCTTTGCAGGTGATGTTTTGCTTTGTGTTTTGACAGATATGCTGTCCTTTTTGGGATTATCTTGTCCATTGCTTTTCAAAGCTGTGGTTTTAGTGTTGGTTCGCTCAGTTCTGTGAGACGTGCTGTTAGTGAATCCCAGCTCCTCCATGTCACATCTATGCAGTGAAACGTGAGCCTCCCGGATCAGTTCAGAAAATAATTTCTGAGCTGGGTGTGAATTACTGCTGAAGGAAATCAAACAATAAAAACATCACATTAGTACCATCAGTGTTATTGAGCATCATTCATTACGTTTACATGCACAGTTAAGTCGAGCTGTGGTTATAGCTTGACTAGGCCATTTAATTGGACTACTGTCCTTGTCCCAGGATACAAGCATGGGAGGGGAATTGATTTATTGACCAAAGTATGTCTGACAGGTGGAAATATGCCCCCTTTCAGCTTTTTAGTACTGGACACTTTTTCCAGTTGACCTATTACGTCACATACAAAACAATCAACAAACAAGTTAGCTACGGTTAGCTTGCGGCAAACTGGTACCATGGTGAACAACTTTACAGCTCTGTACATTTCATTTGTCCAAAAATGCATGGCTTTGGATGTAGATTTCGCCATGTTGTAACCAGCTTTTTCTTCTGTTACGCATTTAATGCTATTCGACTTCCAGGTCAACGCCCGGGCCGAACGCTGCGGAGCATGCGGAGATCACCTAAGCCAGTTTGGATCTGATATGGGTGCGTTAGTCTGACTTTGAGAAATCTGATTTAGTACAATATCAGTCAGACCAACATGTTTACATGTATTTTGAAAGTCTGGTTTTAGTCGGACTAGCACAATAAATCAATATTCTCTTATGTCATGTAAATGTATTGATTTATGTCATGATATACTCCAGAGCTTAATTATGACATGCCATCCACTAGACTCATGAGTAACAACACAATAGATTATTAAGTCAACACATTAATGCTGCAACTTTATACCCCCATCCATCCCAGCCAAGTTTCCCACATCTGGCTAATGTCTGTTGTCACAACAAGTACTACCCCTCATTCACACAAAAGGCATGTTTCAGTCAAAGAATTTGTTAAAGTACCCTTAATACCTGAACATAACCCATATGGATAGTACCTAAACCCTGGATCTGTTTTGCACTTCCACCACAGCCAGTACTCTTAAATGTAGGCATGATCATTGCCAGATGGTAATGGCCCCTTCAACGACGTAAGCAGTGTGATCATATCTAACACAACACAGGAAACGTGACTCAGTAAAAAGACACAATGGAGAACCTTAAAGGGCCACTGTGTAAAATGGGTTGAAAACCGTTGAAAACAGTGACATCAGTGGTCAAATTCTAGATTGCAAGGCTCACTCGCTCACCCTTCCCGTCAGGTAAATGAAGGTGGCCTCGTAGGGACAAAAAGCCTTGCGCAGACACGAGTTTTTCAGGAGTAGGTCTATCTAGCGACGAGGTAAATGTTTATTTAGTAATCTAAGCCATGTTACGATATTGTAATGAATCCCTCATGCGCAGGAGACCAGAGGAGCATTCGGGGAAAAGGCCCGTTTATTTGAGTACTCCAAAAACTCCGGTAACACTCCAGGGGGTAAAAGACTCCGTCCCAAACTCTGCCTAGCGTAACACACACACTCCATACACACATACTCGTTTACAATACCAAGCGGGTACCCCCTCCCCTCTCTGCTCCACCAATCTCCAGCCCGCACACTGACTGACAGCGTAGCCTGTAAACAGAACTCAACTGTTTATTTAGCCTAGCAATATCTCCGGACTATAGTAGCTGCAATGGACGACTTTGAACATGATTTTGAAGAGTTTCTTGTAGCGGACACAGACCCAGAGCCATACCTGTTTGAGCCGGAGCATACAGATGAGGAACTTGGATGCTGAGCGGGCGAGACGAGAGGCTGAATCCTTTGCTCCCATTTGGCTGCACAGAATGGGATTCGGTGCTACCATTGTTGGGGAGTTCATTCTCTCCTGTTGCGTGGTAAGTGTGGTCCATTCGCAAACTTTATAACTAAAAAAAACTTTTCACTACTCTCTATCGAGGAACTACTAACACTCTGCTGTTTCCTCCTCCTTCTTCCTTCCTTCCGCTGTCTTCGTTGGTTTATTTATACACGCGAAACACGTTCTCTGGCTGGCTGGATTGTCCGCTCGGTCTGCTTTACATACATGGCAGCGCAAGATGGCGACCTCTCTAAAGCAAGGCCCTTGCTATATATATATATGTGTATATATATATATATATATATATATATATATACAGTACAGGCCAAAAGTTTGGACACACCTTCTCATTCAATGCGTTTTCTTTATTTTCATGACTATTTACATTGTAGATTCTCACTGAAGGCATCAAAACTATGAATGAACACATGTGGAGTTATGTACTTAACAAAAAAAGGTGAAATAACTGAAAACATGTTTTATATTCTAGTTTCTTCAAAATAGCCACCCTTTGCTCTGATTACTGCTTTGCACACTCTTGGCATTCTCTCCATGAGCTTCAAGAGGTAGTCACCTGAAATGGTTTCCACTTCACAGGTGTGCCTTATCAGGGTTAATTAGTGGAATTTCTTGCTTTATCAATGGGGTTGGGACCATCAGTTGTGTTGTGCAGAAGTCAGGTTAATACACAGCCGACAGCCCTATTGGACAACTGTTAAAATTCATATTATGGCAAGAACCAATCAGGTAACTAAAGAAAAACAAGTGGCCATCATTACTTTAAGAAATGAAGGTCAGTCAGTCCGGAAAATTGCAAAAACTTTAAATGTGTCCCCAAGTGGAGTCGCAAAAACCATCAAGCGCTACAACGAAACTGGCACACGAGGACCGACCCAGGAAAGGAAGACCAAGAGTCACCTCTGCTTCTGAGGATAAGTTCATCCGAGTCACCAGCCTCAGAAATCGCAAGTTAACAGCAGCTCAGATCAGAGACCAGATGAATGCCACACAGAGTTCTAGCAGCAGACCCATCTCTAGAACAACTGTTAAGAGGAGACTGCGCCAATCAGGCCTTCATGGTCAAATAGCTGCTAGGAAACCACTGCTAAGGAGAGGCAACAAGCAGAAGAGATTTGTTTGGGCCAAGAAACACAAGGAATGGACATTAGACCAGTGGAAATCTGTGCTTTGGTCTGATGAGTCCAAATTTGAGATCTTTGGTTCCAACCGCCGTGTCTTTGTGAGACGCAGAAAAGGTGAACGGATGGATTCCACATGCCTGGTTCCCACTGTGAAGCATGGAGGAGGAGGTGTGATGGTGTGGGGGTGTTTTGCTGCTGACACTGTTGGGGATTTATTCAAAATTGAAGGCACACTGAACCAGCATGGCTACCACAGCATCCTGCAGCGACATGCCATCCCATCCGGTTTGCATTTAGTTGGACGATCATTTATTTTTCAACAGGACAATGACCCCAAACACACCTCCAGGCTGTGTAAGGGCTATTTGACCAAGAAGGAGAGTGATGGAGTGCTGCAGCAGATGACCTGGCCTCCACAGTCACCGGACCTGAACCCAATCCAGATGGTTTGGGGTGAGCTGGACCGCAGAGTGAAGGCAAAGGGGCCAACAAGTGCTAAACACCTCTGGGAACTCCTTCAAGACTGTTGGAAAACCATTTCAGGTGACTACCTCTTGAAGCTCATGGAGAGAATGCCAAGAGTGTGCAAAGCAGTAATCAGAGCAAAGGGTGGCTATTTTGAAGAAACTAGAATATAAAACATGTTTTCAGTTATTTCACCTTTTTTTGTTAAGTACATAACTCCACGTGTTCATTCATAGTTTTGATGCCTTCAGTGAGAATCTACAATGTAAATAGTCATGAAAATAAAGAAAACGCATTGAATGAGAAGGTGTGTCCAAACTTTTGGCCTGTACTGTATATATATATAAAAGCATAATTATAAGGCTACGAAAACCAAACAAATTTTATTTTATAGCGATTATACACTTATATAAACATATTAATGGGTAGAATATTCAGATTCAGATTCAGATTTGACAATAAACCATGCCAAATATTACACACTGGCCCTTTAAAGGAGAAGTCTGGTATTTTGCACTTTGGGCCCCATTTCTGGGTTGTTTATGATGAAAAAGAGTGACTAAGACCAAAATAGTGACGACTGCTCATTTTCTGAGAATTTGGCTTTGCCCTGCCTGGCTTAACACTGCTGCATATGGTCATGTGTGAACCTGTCCTAAAACCACCCTAAACGTTCGTTTTCAAAGCCATGAAACTCACCAAGTGGTCAGTGGTGTTCCTTGATGTTTTGACATAAAAATCGTGGCAAACTGTGGTTTCCATCTGTGTTTTCATTATTCATCTCAATAGTGGAACTACTTTTTCAGCTGCCTCACACCCGTGTGTAAACTTCCGCTTGATCATTTGTTTGACACTGAAGCGTGCGGGCTGAAAGTGGGCCTTTGAACATGGCCTTTGTAAGGACATGCAAAGATACCCATCATAGTGCAAAGTTGTATATTATGAAGACACCAATCCAAACCTATGCTAAAACAGAAACACAGGGCACTGATTGAGTAGATGGTCTATGATATATGGAGCCACTTATGGTAAAGAGTAATCAAAGAACAAGCGATGAAGTAGCTAACAAAATACTATCAAGTTATAGGGGGCATTGCCATGAAGAAATACTTCAAAGAAGTGGTGTAATGGTAGTTGATGATGCAGGAGTAATACTTGGTAGGTGGGTAGATTACTGAGGAGGAAGTGGGTCTGCTGTCCTATATTTTTAAACGGCTTTTTGGCTGATAGGTGGGTATACTGTAAACTGCCAGAAAAAAGTGGGCATTTCCATATAACTGCATATACCCTCCGCTACACCACTGCTTCAATGTATTCCGAATTATGGCGATGGACATTTAGTGGGTCTTCATTCTTGTTCTCCATTGCAAACTTTAGATTTGGTACAAAGGAATTTGAAGAGCATGCCATCTTCATTGTCAAAGTAGATCTCTTACCGCAAACATTCCCCAGTGACATTGGCAGCTGACTGATCTTTGTTTGTGGTGGAGTTTTTCTGGAGGTCAGCTGACCATGAAGGCTTCTCGTCCACTGCTTTTGAGCTTCTAGGTTTATGGTTTGCGAGCAAAGACTTCAAGCTCTTCTTCACAGGATGTTGCTCAGTGGTTGTTGTGCCTCCTTCTTTGTGCAAGTCTTTGCCAGAGTTCAATTTAAGCTTTAGGCCCAACGAACTAGAGCCCTCCTCCTTCAGTCCTTTAGCAAATGGGTTGTAGTCAACTTTAAGCTGAGAAAACCGTGAGTTCTGGTAAGCAATGACTGCCATAAATTCAGTTTGGGGGAAAGTGAATGTAACAACATTGGGATTGTTTAGTTTTATGTCTTTAGCAGCTTTATCAGTTTGGACCACGTGCAGCCGTGGTAAGTAGCGGTGCATAGGGTGCAGGATGGTGTTCCCCTCTTGATCTGAGATGTTGTTAGTGAGCTTCAGTTTGTAAAAGGACACTGGATTCTGCATCCAGTGTTGACCTGTTGACGGGGACTCTGGATGAGCGAATGGTTGACACTTAACATGGCACTCTGCCCTTCCAGCAACTTGCCAGCTCTTGCCAGTCCACTTGTAACGACTGTTGTCCAAAGGTTGAATGTCCATGATCAGAGAGTATTTCTTGGAGGACTGCAAGCCAGAGATGCGAAAGCGGCAATAGGGGAACATCCTGCTGCCTTGCTGAGTCAGAATCATCTCCGTTTTGCATCTGAAAAACTCGTTCCACATGCTGTTGTTGTCCAGTGTCACTCTGATGCCATTGCAGATGCTATCAGGTGACAGGTTGTCCAGCTGAGGGTTTAAACTGGTGGAATGTTTTGCAGAGGGAAGTCCACCAGATGTCCTGATGGACTCTTTCGATGGGTACATATTGGGTTTCCCCTTCATACCTGTCTCTTCATTGGTTACACAGGTGCTTCGTTCCATCCCACCTTCACTTGCCTTCCCTGGTTTAGGAACAACAAAGCGGGCCGTTGGATGGTCTGCGGCCAGTGCCGCTGCAGGGGTGGTAGCCCCTTCCTGATGGAACACCATTCCTTTCTGCTTCTTCTTAGAAGCCATGAACAGGCCCCAGACATCTAAAGGGCAGGAGGGTCCTGCTTTTTATACAAATGTACGATGGTTCAAGACAGCATCCTGAAAAACAAAAACAATAAAGTTTATTCATTTGGCATAGTGCATGCCATCAAAACAACAAACGCAAGACAAAAATGTCACGTTTTTATTCTTATAGTGCTTATTTTTGTGGGTTTTTGTAGGGCTGGTTGATTATTTGGTCGATATGCTCTCATCTGACCAAATTCTCATTGGTCGAATAATCGCCGTGTTACTTTCATAAGGAGAAAAGTGCTACATTAATAGCTTTCCAGGATTAATCCATTATTTCCTGCGGCAGAAGGGACAGGCTAAGTTACCTGTGAAAATGTGAAAACACCCCCTTTGTTTACACAACATTGAACTCGCCCACCCTATGCTCAGTGTCGCGGTGACGCAGGCCTCCTGTCTGTTTCTGTATTGTATACTGACACCATTTCCCTCAGTGGAAACAAAGCTTGTACTTTTGGTTCACAGATAAGAAACAACAAATTGTGAAGACAGTAAAGCCTCCACTAAAATAGCATTTTAAGTCTCGTGTGTGATCTATCATTTCGGGATTTATACTTAGGGATTTATCCTGGCTTCATATGAACAGAAGAAATCTCCACTCACCGCCAGGCTAATTTATACAATGTAAAATGCCATAGGCTGGCACTAAGAACATTAGCATATTTGCTTGGAAAACGTGTTTAGTATAAGACAGTTGTTTTGGCAGTGAACCTTGTGAGCTGTAATGGAGCCAAATAGTGTGCCGTTACCTTTATTAAATTTTGCTGCTGTCCCTGGTTTTATATGAGAAGTGCGAAAGACCGCTAGCCACTAAGCTAATTTATACAATGTAAAATACCATAGACTTGTGCTAATAACGTTAGCATATTGAATTGGTGGGGGAAATGTGTCCAGATAAAGACAAGTGTTTGTCTCTCAATTCTGCGATTTATAGTGAAGCCAATTTGCATACTTTTGTTTGACATTGTCTCTATTAAGCCATATTTAATGTGTGTTTTGAATCAACTAAACTTTACAGCACATAACACAGTCCTCCACCGCTGACTAGCATTTTGGAAGTGTAACTGCAGAGTGACACAGACACACCACTACAGAAGTGAAAATAACGTGCAGATTTTTTTCCCCCCACGACTAACGGGTTAGTTGAAGATTATGTACAACTTCAGTTGACCAAGATTTTCCTTGGTTGACTACAGCCGTAGTGTTTTGTCTGCGGGAACCTTGCTTTGATCTGTTTCTAATAATGATAACCACAAAGTTCTTCAACACAGAGCAACAGAAGGCCATAGCCATATTATAGGGCTATATTATCAATAGTATTTGGTTGATATACTGTGTTTGTTCCTCCGTTTGGTATGTGGATCTCAGTTGTGAAATCAGTTTTAACATATTCAGAGCCCTTAAAAGGGATTTGTAGTTGTTAGTGTGAGAGTTATGGTGTAGCAAGAGACCATACGAGTAGCCACTTAAGCAAACTGTAGATGATATGTGTCTCCTCAAAGAGCTAACTTGTCCGGGCTATGGCAGAGAGATGCTACATGAAGACAATACAAACTGTGATTGGTCAGCTTGATCAGCCTTTGTTTTCTCCATAAAGTTTCTGATGACAATAACAATTGTAAAGACTGAAAAAAAAAAAAAAAAAATCAAGCTACTTGAAGAAATAATCAGTAATGTGCTGCTTTTAACAAATAGCAAAACCATGAAAGAACGTAAACACGATTACTTTGTCTATTGATTGCATGGCAGTAGTCTTCTTTTAAGTAATGAGACTAAAGCCCCTTTTACACTGCTTCTCCATGGTATTGCTCTGTTATGCCACCACACCATTCTGTATAAGGTACAACGTGGAAAGGAGGGGACAGAGTTGTCTCGCCTTTAAGCCGCGACAAGAGGTAGTAACAGCACAGAAACAATGTACGTATTAGGACAGCCAGCAGGACAGCATCATGGGTGGCACAGTTGTGATGTTTTGACAACATGTTATGTGTACAATCCAATGTGGGAGATTTATAAAGTAGTTAGTAGCAGTTAGCAGCTAACTCCAAGAGGAAGAACAGCAGCCGAAAATGTCCACAAATTGGGAAAACAATGAGCTTTGGGAGCTGCTTACCCTCTGAGCAGAGGACAAGATCAGTCATATAACAGTTGGTCAATAATTGTTATTGTCGTGTTACTACCATTGTTATTGTTTATAAACAGCTACGGACAGGCATGGTGGTAGTGGCCCTATAGCGCAATAACTGTGTAAACACAGCTAATGTGAACTGATATATCACTGATGAATCTGGCGCTGAATTATAAATCAAAACCTATGTTGTCTTTATCTATGAAGCCAAAACATCTCAATTGCTCCCTGGTGGCTGGCTGCTGTACAGGTCATAAACGTGATCCATAAATGTTAGTGGAAGGGACATTGGCCAAACAAAAAAGTCAAAGTACATGATATTTTTTTCTTAAGGTGATTTCTGTCATTTCAAGTTGTCACACTGATGTTTGTTCAAGTGTTAATTTTTCTGATAAATTTGTTTTTTTGGGATGTGACAACAAGATTGACAGCTGTGTGTGCCAACTGGTGCACTTGCAATCAATGGCTCTGCTCATGACTGGTTGGATGGGTGAACGGGCAGGAAGTCAAGACCACAGAGATCGACACTGCGCAGTGCCGTATGCAAGATGTTTTGACTTCATTGTTGCACAGTGGGAGGAAGTAAAGACGTGTCGTCCATCTCTAACAGTCTTTGGATTTGATAAGCAATTAACATCCAGCAATTACCTGTTAGGTAATCACCACTCACCAAACACACACATATCTCTATGTTGTCACTCAAAAAAAAAAAAACTTTTTCCAAGGCCAACACTGCATCACATTTAGTCATTACAGCTTGTTTTCCACTTTGACAACATTTTGATTAACTTGAAGTTCCTTACTAAGTGAGCTTCCTGGCCAAAGCAGAACTGGCGACGTTGTTGTTGTTGTTGCTGCTGTTCTTTCTACATTGTTTATGGCTATTTGCCATAGTGGCGATTAACGTTAGCTATAGTCAGTGCTATCAATGTCTTAGGTTTTGTGCAACATGAGTTCCACAGTTGTGCTTCCAGCTGGAAAGCTGAAAGACTGCTCCACTAGCGATATGTTTCCAAGCTGGTCGAAAGAGCGGTTACAGCAGTTGATAGTGTAGCAAATGTTTACAATCCCACCACGTTGTCAAGCTGGATAAGACATAAACTCCACCACCTTGTCTATTTGAGTAAGTATAACTGCAGCTGGACCCAGCTACATGACTCGTCTACCAAAACCTACACGCCAGTCTACAATCAGCCCCCTTCGCTCCTTGGCACGGAGCTAAAGTCCTGACGAAACTGCTAAGTTAGCGATTAGCTAGCTATAAAGTATTGCGTTAAAAGAGAGGTGGTTACGGTGAGGGTAAGGGTATTGAGAAGGCTGCATCTCGTAACTTATGCTAATGCTAAGTTAGTGACTAGCTACAGTTAGCTATTGAGTATTAATTTAAAAGAGAGGCAGTTAAGGTTAGGGTAAGGGTAATGTGAAGGGTTACGTCTCATTACTTATAAAGTGAATCATGTTTTCGTGTATTATGAATTATGAAGTGGATTATTGCTACATTTTGTCTCCTAATTGATTCCTCATCAAGGTTTAGATAGCCATCACATTGGTGGGTTTGTTTTGTGCTAGTGGTGGGCGCGGTCTGTGGGGGCGTGGCGTGTACACTATAAACAGAATGTGTCTCCATCTATTAGTAGCCTACTTGTTCTCTAACGCAGCTTCTGTGTGCTAAATTCCCAATGCTTTGTGCTACTCACTACCACGTGTCACAATCCTGTTAACTACAGTGTTTCATTTGGATATTTTGCTGCTGGCTACACAAAACACAAAACTTTGGGTACATTTACCAGTCAAATCGACACTGTATGTATCTACTAACAACTTTAGCGTGTGTATCTACAGTCTGATATTATTTCCTCCTCCATTGTTGTTAAAAACACACCAATGAGCTACACGGTTGCATTGGTTGACATGTTTGTTAGAATGAATACACATACTGTAGTTTCTCGCTATTGTCTTTTTTTTAATAAACTGCAAACCCCATAATTTTTTGTGGAGCTAACAAACGCAACAAGTCGCTACCTGCCCACTGCTATAACCTCACAGTTCAACAGTCACCATGTCATTTTCAGTTTAAAATGTGCACTGTTCAATAGTTGTTTTGTTTTACTAGCTGTCACCTTTTCAAGACCAATTATCATGCAGCAGTGAGTAAATTCCCAAAGGTGGCAACCTGATTATCACCACAACACACCAAACTATTTCCAACCAGTCCAATGGGAGTCTGTTAGTCCCATGACCCAAATCTGCGACTTCAACATGTTGACTAAGAACTATAATCCCCCAATAATAAAAAACAATGTTACATTTACCAGCGGCATGCTAACTAAACCACATAAACAACATATTACTGGTTCGGTTCAGTTCGGGAAAATTGGTCTAGTTACAGTAAATAACCATCTCGGATTAGTTTCATCTCTAAAAATGTATCTTTGGCCGCAGCAGATTAAATATGGTCTGTAAAGAGGCTGTAGCTAGCTAGCAGCAGCAGGCCTGATGCTGAGCACAGTAATGGCTTCCCACTCAACACTTTGCTAAACCTCCCGGTCGGTCTGAGTGCACCCTCTGAGACCATGTGCTCCGGTCACGGCACACGGATTACCTTCTGCGTGGGCGAACACATCAAGTATTTCGACGGTGTAACATTAATCCGTGCGTTATCGTCTGTTTTCCGTCGTACAAACCCCGTCGACATCGTGGATTTTTTCCTAACTGTGGGGGTGAAAGCATGCGGTGTCTTTGCACGTAGACGTCATCGCCCTGTCTTCGTCTTCTACAGTACTGCGCAGCCTCCGACGCCATCTTGCTGCCGCCACCTGGTTCAAAACTCGCCCCGGTTGCTCTCAGCACCGTCACCGGAGAATCTACCGTCCGGTATCTGCAGGGGTGTATCTGAAGAGCAGCGGGACGGTGCGCTCTGTTGTGTACGTTTGCATCTACCTGTTGGACTGTTTAATGGAGTATTTAAACCGCCTGGAAGCTGGGGACAGACGCCATGACAGATCAGACAGACAGGAGGACGGACGGATGGCTGGTCTCCAGTTTTCATTTCTCTGGGATTTAACTGAATCTAAACCGAATTTAATGGACTCAAACCTGCGAGGCTGGTGGATGAGTGTCCGGGACAAGATCCGGAGCTCTATGATCATAATATAGGGACTATTTTCCTGTAACGAGCCAGACTACAGTCAGATACACGAATCATGTGGAGCCAATGGAGATTTAACTGGTGATCGATGGGATTGATTAAAGATCAGGGTGGGTTTACATAGACACATTCTGCAGTCTTCCTCCAACATGGCGAAGAAATGGTTAACTTAACTTGTACACGTAAATCGCTTCTTGCCGTCGCTTCTTGTTTGTCAGAACTGTAATTGATGGTGTCGCTTCCCAACATGGACTCAACGTGAAAGAGTTCATGACAGTTTTGCTTGTGAGATTCAGGTTGCCGTGTTTCACTGCTCATGTTCGGTCACTTGTTTAGTCACAGCACAGCAGCGGACACCATGATGGTTTCACCGAGCGAGAAGCTCATAGAAACAGCGGACTACTGCGTGAAAATGTCGGCCTTATTTCACGTAACTTCTAAAGTGGACTCATGCAGGGAAGCGATGCGATTATATGTGGTATTCTGTGTTGGGTAAATGGCCGGATATCCACGCTCCGCCTCGGGTAAACACTCAAAGGTTCCCCCCTGTAACAAACAAAGGGTTTCAGCCATGATGGAGCTGCTGGCTGTAGTTTCAGAAACCGAACATTTATTGAACCCAGCAGTGAACCGAACCGCTGACCGGATAGAGGTCGACCGTAAGAGTCAACAGACATGATTTAGTTTAATACGGACTGTATATAGTCAGTGAATAACGACTTTATTACGTTAACAGTTGAAATTTAACGTTCGTCGCCACTAAAGAGGAGAATTTATCGTTTTCATTTAGTAACAGCCGCCATTTTGGGGTCATACTGATGTGTAACTGTTCAGACTAAAGTCAGATTCGACCGTTAAACCTCCGTTCTGTTTAAATGTACCACGCGCGTGCACGTTTGTGCTGCAAGGGCGCGGAATAAGGCGCATGCGCCCTGCGTAGAAGTTATTGAACGTTAACATGGCGGTGTTTTTTGTTTATTATTTATCATCTCTAACATCTTACGTGATTTTCAGTCCAGTGCAGATGGAGGTGAATACAAAATGAGCTGCTGCTGTTGCTAGGTTAGCTTCCAGGCTAACACGCGGCTAACAGCTGTGATTTTCCTGTGCTGTGGGGAACCAGGCAGTTAGCCAGGTTGCGGTTAGCCAGGTAACTGTCCGCTTATTACAGTGTGATGCGGTTCTAACGTTAGATCAAACACTGGACCGTCCTGATCAGGTCGAGCATAAAAGGATATAACTAATAAATCCACTTGAGCTCATAACTCACATGCCTGTGTGTGTGTGTGTGTGTGTGTGTGTGTGTGTGTGTGTTATAGTCTAGTCAGTATTCTTTAACTTACACAAGCTAAATTCGCCAATCACTATTTTTCGTCAGGGCCTTTGATAAAGATAAAACGTTTATTTTGTGACGCATTAATGAATTAATTCGCCTTAAAGGGCAGCACGACTCGTTAAGAGCTGTCTTCAGTGTAACATGGAGGGCTGCTGAGACTGGTGGGAGTGTTTCTCGGCTCCATCTTGACTGAGGAGAAAGAGCTCTTTGTAGGACGACATGTCGAGTTGACCCAGTTTTTTTTCTCCGGAATTCAGCAGGAAAAGAACAACAAGTAAACACGAATGATGTTGACAAACAAATGGGCTGTAAGCAGCAGGAGCGTTTTATCCAGTTTCATTCATCTTACATGTGAATGTGTGGGTTTATAATGAATTATATAACAAGATAAAAACGATTCAATTACAAGTCTGTGATTCAGATTATAATGGCAGTATAAATAAATAGGTTGTAGTTGTAGAAACAGTACTTAAGTACTGCACTAAAGTACAATTTTGTGGTGCATGAGTATTTCCATTTTATGCTACTTTATAGCTGCACTCTACATTTCAGAGAGAAATGTTTTTCCTTTTTGCTCCACTGTATTTATCTGTCAGCTTTACTTACTGTATAGAAAATATTTTACCAAAGAACATGTTCAAAATGTGTTTATTGTTGCTAGATATGTTCCCAACGACTAATTTCACTGACAAATAAACAGAAATTTAAACTTACATAAGTTGATTAGAAAGACAAGAAAACACACAGATAATGGTTATAAATTGGGCACAGATTAATCTAGAAAGTTAAACTATGTCCAGGGGAAAAAAACAATGTTTTTATGAGAGGAATTTAATCACATTTTTTAATATCCAAATAGTATTTTAATGGCGCTGAAGCGTGTTGCACCTTATATCGAGCATAATGAACACATAATCCTAAAAAACGTAACGACAGCTCACTAAATATTAGTTGGCAAATGTTATATTGAAAGCAACCCTTTATAGGAAAATAAATCTTTGGGAAAACTGCCTGATTATTACAACAGTATTTTCATTTGGTGAACACAACTGCATCAAATAGTAACTTAATTATAATAAGTTTAACAGACTCATTTCTTTAGTGAGGTTAGCAACGTTTAACCGACTAATCATGCACATGCAGTGTTACTGATTAAAGTTCTCAACAGCACATAAAATCAGCTCCACCTTCAACAGTTACTACAGTAACACGTTAGTATTAACAGTCAACTTATAGGAGAAATAACTGTTGTTTTACTTTTGTACTTAAAGTACATTTTACAGACAGTTCCACTGTACTTTTACCCAAATAAATCTCAGCTGCAGACATTTTTACATATTGGTAGTGCTGCTGTAACTCAAGGGAACGATTCATAATCAATAGTAGACTGATGTGATTTGATCATATTGATCAGTTTTTACTTGACTGAAGCTCAGGTTACATTCCTTGTAGTTTGTCATGACACGATCACATTTAAAGGACTTGTGTGTAGGACTTAGGGAGACTTGGTGGCACCGATCAGTGAGGACTGCAGATGTCAACCAGCTGAAACTTCTACTGGTTAGAATTCCTTCAATGTTACTTGTTCACGAGGTTCTTAACGGGAGCTGAGTTATCCTCAGAGGTCTCTTCTTCTCCAAAACAAACAGATTACATGATTAAAAGCGGTAAAAACACTGAATAAAGCAGTTTCACATCATAAAATCGGTGTTTCTCTGATGCTGTTTGACACAGCAGGGGCTGGAGCTGAGTTGCTGCTAAAGTTTGCTCAGCTTGTTTCCCTGATAATGTATGAATTAGACATTTAGGAGGTTTCTATTGGGAGCCAAATTATCATTTGAGGTCTCTTCCTCTCCAACTCAAACGGACCAGGTGACTTAAACGGGTAAAACACTGAAAGACGCAGTTTCACGTTAAAAGTCAGTGTTTCCCCAGTGCTGTTTGGCATGTTGGACACAAGCTTTTAACTACAGTGGTCAACGTGAAAATGCAAATGTCTGGATCTAGAGCCAGTGTTCATTTTGTCCATTCTTGGCTACTGAAGAAACATGGTGGTGAACGTAGCGATCTCTGTAGATGAGGACTTGCTCCTTGGCTCATTCTAAGATAACAAAACAACTATTCTTATTTTCAGGTGATAATACACTAAATAAAACATTGTATTTTATTCCATCTCCACCAGTATATCCCCCTTAATGCTACACACTGGACCTTTAATTTGCAGTCTGTCAGGAAACTTACATAACTCTTTATACCTTTTTGTTTGTAATGTCTGACGCTCTGACCTGTTGTTAATGTCTTTGTAATGTGTCCGTCTCCAGTAGTGACTGGTGTATTATTTTCCAGGTGACGGCTCATCAGCTGACCGTGCTTCTCTGCAGTGGATTAAAGCTGCTGGTAACAATATGGAACCAAAGAGAAATCAATGTGATGCAAATAACACTTTATTCCTTTGTCAAAAGAGTCTCACATGTGCTCTCTGTACAGATCTGAAGTCAGTGGTAGACAGACAGGTAAGGACGTGACATCAGCCCCTGGGTTTGACCTCTACGAGGGTTTTATACATCAACATACAAAACATGAGATACATTAAAACATACAGTCAGTCCCTTGATATCCCGATACGAGTGGTGCAGACAGACACATCAAGGCAAAGTTAAATTCAAACATCAGGGCAGGAAATTAACATCAGACACCAGCAACATATGAACCGGTTAACTTCACGCCCAGGATCAATAAAACATCCCAGATTTCTAAAATACATAATTACATCTTTATAGTACATCTGACTCGAATATACAACATCTGGTTTAGTGGTATTCTAAAGGAGAACGTGTCTAGTGCAGTTTTTACAGTGTTCCCATGAAATGCTTCAAGTAATTAAAATCTTATTAACAGCTTCATTTTGATGTTAGACAGTCTGGAAATGTACAAGTAGAGCAGCAGAATTCAAATACACAACATTATATACAGCAGGGCTGGATTAAACCACTGCAGGGGCCCTGGGGCAACAATGTGCCATGGGCCCCCAAAGACCCCCCTGATCACACCCAACCTCTGTACACTGTGTATTTATTACACAAATATGTATTTACTGAAATGCACCATATTAGCACAAAATAAACTCAAATAATTAAGGCCTTAAAACTTAGTTTTAATTTAAGATAAACTGAAGGGACTATATTATTATATGGCTGCAATTCCAGCTGGTCACCAACATCATTAGATGATGATGATGATTTGAATTTAGGTTGTGACATCAGGTGACCAAAATTCAACTTCAAAACATCTACTGCCAATGTTAATGTGATGTGGAATACTGACGACAGATGACATTAATATTTTGTTGGTTTTAAGTTGTGTTTTTTGGTAACCATGACCCAACGTCTTCTAAGCACCTCATGCCAACATCATCTATACATAGAGTAACAACATTTAGTTACAATGTATGAGAACAAAACCCCAAATGTCTGTAAAACATCATGCTAATATCCACACAACATGAAATTCTAACGCTGTTAGACACTCAAAATATCCTCGACCCAGTTTTCATTCTAATTGAAATTTTACATCTGTCCAGCGTCTTCCTGATGTCTGGTGCCAGCTTGTATGATAATTTTAATTATCATTTAACTAATATGTCTAGAAGTGTAAATTTTCTATTGTTTTCGGCCAAGAGACGTCCTCAAATGTTTGTTTGTTTTTTTGGTTGTTTGTTTTGCCCAGAGCATCTAAAGTTCGTCACCATTCCACCATGGCAGGAAAAAACAACCCTGCCTATATTCACATTGAAACTAAAACAGAAGCTGGAACCAGCAACATCTTGACAACTGTGCTTAAAATAACTTCATTCATCATTTGTCCCCAATTATTATTCTTAATTAATCTCATTGATTCTGCTCTACATATTAAAGACAAGTCATATCAGCAGAGCATTTAACCATATAAAAATTATTTATCTGTATTCATCAGTGTCATAGCTACAAGAGCGGTGACACTTACAACCCCAACACATCAACACAAACACATGCTGCCTCAGACGGTCTGTTATAGAATAGTTAACAGTTAACCTGCAGAGAAGTCTTTCAACCTGTTAAACGTCAGTGTAGAGGTCAATTCTAATACTCTTCAGTTTACTGCACTGCACACCACCCAGGTCTGGTGGGAGCTAATGTTAGCTAGCAGTTGGCAATTACCGCTATGAACACCACCCCGAACCAACACTATTGCTGTGGAAACATGGTGGCCACCCTCCGGTCTCACCTCAAGTCGCCCCAGTGAGTGAGCAATTTCGTTTTGAGCTGCAAAACCCCTTCAGAATTTTTAACTATCACTGTTAGCACCGTTAGCAGTGTCAGCACGGCAAGTGGCTCTAACATAGTTAGCCATGCTTAAGTTGTTTTGCAGCTCAAAATGAAGCTGTTTACTCAGCGGGGTGACCTGGGTGAGAGCAGAGGGTGACCACCATGTTTCCATAATCCCCCAACAAGTAGCTCCACTAGCTAGCTCCCGCCCAACATGGCTGCTGCTTAATGCAGAGCAACCGAGGCTAACATTAGCCAACCAGTGGAGACCAGAGGGTGGGCAGTGGGCACTATGGTTCCATGTGTTAATGTGACTGGCCTGCTGTCTGTCAGCAAAGCTAACAGAAAATATAATAAAAGGCCAGACATACATTACAAAAATTAAAATTTCACCAGTGCGAAAAGGTTTGAAATGCGACGCTAATGCTCACTGAGTCAATGGTGCGCCAAGCTAAAATAAAGGCTTCCTATATTTCACATCATTTTGCATTTCTTTTCTTAATAAATTAACCTGTTAGTTACCAGTTAATGGATGTCGGGCTGTTGAAAGCAAAATCAACCAAAACTGACATCCCTAGTCTGGTATGACCAGCAGCTTATGTGGCCAATGTTAACTAACGTTAGACAGATGTATGTTGTAATAGAGTCTGTTTGACTTTTGTTACCGTTATATCGCGTTTTACCGTGAATCATTGACATGTAATCATCACTCAAGACCAATACAGTCACTGTCAGTCAGCAAAAGTTACATAATCTCACTTTAAACCTCCAATTAAAGGGAAAAATCAGCATGTTCACATGTTTTTATCTGAGGGCACGTTACTGATTTTCAATGTAGCCTAATGTAAGACAAAGAAAAGCTCCTTTTTATAGCAGAGAAGCTGCAGTCAGCAAATTTAAAACATTTACTTGAATGATTAATTGTTTATCAAATAGCAGCAGATTAATTTTCAGTTGATTCATCAGTAAATTACAGAGAACCATCAGGAATGCTGTGATTCAGACTATAATTCTAACCTGCTTCACTAACAAAAGGATAACTTCTGTATTTTTTAACCTGGATTCTTTTTTTCTTATGTTTTTGTGACTGATGGGATCAACAGTTATGAAACTGATCCAGTATAAAGAGTGAGCGCTGAAGCTGTGTAACAAGCTGCAATGTAACCACTTAGGTCATGTTCACACTGTCAATGTACTTCTTTTGAAAGTGTTTTTGTCACTGACAGGATCAGATAGTGATTTTAAGTGTCTGAGAACATTATGGAAAGGATCCCTACAGAGATAGACCTTTTTGTTAAGGAGTAAGATCCTTTTAGTTTAACCAGAAACAGCCCCAAAATCACCATCACCAAACCCACCAGACTCCATTTAAATAAAGAGGAATTTTATCATCATAAAAGACACTTCATTCAAAGTTGACAGAAACTAAATAGAACTCACAAAACAGTCTTAGTCCATCTTTTCACTGTTCCATTAATCACCAACTCTTGTTTGGCTTAAATTAATCCTTAATTCACCCAGTTAGATGTGAAAACATGCTGCCACTATACATGCTAAAATTACAGTTAATTTAAATGGAGTCTGGTCGGTTTGGTGATTTCATTGCTGTTTCTGGTTAAACAAAAAGGATCTTACTCTTTAACACAAAGCTCTATCTCTGTTGGGATCCTTTCCACAACGTTGTCAGACACTAAAATAACAATCTGAGCCTGTCAGTGACAAAAGCACTTTTAGTGGACATACACTGATGGTGTGAACATGACCATGCTGTGCTCTCTCAGTACTGGACCAGTTTCAAAAACAGTTGTTCTCATTAGTCACTTTGACACACAAACATGAGAAAATAGAGTCCAGGATGGAAAATACAGAAGTTTGACGTACAGACGTGAAACCTGACTAACGCTGCTGATCAGAAATTTGAATAAAGCTGAATAAAGTTGTATGAAAAAAAATACTGTCAAGTTATTTGTCTGTGAAAAGGTCACAAATCCCCTCAACTCCTGACACAGAACAGAAACACTCATCATGTGACCCAAGTATGAAATAATAGGCACATGGGAATGTGGGGAAGAAGACCAGAATCTGTGCCAGACAAAAACAAATAGTCTACCTCAGTGGCCCCTTCACTTCCTGTCAGTATGATCAGATAATAATGCAGGTGATGCCTTTAGGGCCCATCATTTCAGTTTATAATGTGCTTTAATGGAACACAGTATTAACAACAAACATTTAAACACTGTGTCTGGAGCCAAACTTTGTTTAGTCGACAATTTCAAAGTCCCAGCACGTCAAACAGCTTCAGCTAAACTTGCACTATAGACCAAATTAATTTATGATTTCTCCGCAGTCAAATTGTGGAGTCATCTGACGGGTTAGACATCTGACGGGTTTGACCTCCATCAGTGACCTCAGTGTCAGACTGGAAACAGTCACATATTAATACAGATACATTTACATTTTAAAATATATTACAGACTCAACTCCTCTGCTGTGAAGCTGATTCACAGCAAGGCACTCGACACTTTTGATGAGCGACATTCCACATAAATTAGTGAGGTTTCAGTCGTCTCCATTGTAACTACATGCCACCTCCAGCTGGCTTGATTAATTATATAATTCTGATCGGTATGTACACATCTCCTTCTGACAGCTGTTTGTTTTCTGTCTATATTTGTGCTACTTTGTGTCAGCATTTCAATAAAGGAATGATATGACAAAAAAAGCGAGTTAATATAAGAGGAAGAGATTTTAAACTCATTTAGGGCTCATCTATAAAGTGAGCGTCCAGATACTTTTGTCCACATAGTGAAGCTCAATGAGTGATCCACCTTCAGACTGAGGATTTAACACACAGCTGGCTGCACCCAGACGGTCAGTGAGGGGTTAAATATCTGCTTTATAAGAAGATTTATTAGCTTTGACAGAGGCTAACAGTTTCCCCCTGCTTCCAGTCTTTGTGCTAAGCTACGCTAACACGTCACAGTGACATAAAGTTTAATTTAATTCACTCTCAGTATATATTAGTACAGTTACCACAATGTTACAGTATTCCTTTGAAAAGACATCTCAAAGGAAAGATGAGACTGACCTAAGGAAGTACCAGCTGTAATCAGAGTATCAGCAGTAATCAGAGTACCAGAGTATCGGTGTGTATTCCAGGTACTGATTGTGATGAGTGACAGTTTGTACCTTCATCAGTCTCCACCCGCCTGCTGCTGCTCCGTGCCATAAAGTGAGCGTCCCTCTCTGATCAGCTGACTAATGAGCTCAGTTAGATGTCCTATTGGGTGAGAGGAGGAGTGCTGTGATTGGTCAGACATTAATGACCACATCATCCTCTTCATCTCTGACCTCTTCCTGTAACGTGTCCATCGACTCCCCCCTCCTTCCTCCTCCGCCAACACCTTCTTCCTCCTCCTCCTCGGGGGCCCCACAGGGGCCGATGATGTACCTGTAGTCTCCTCCGATGGCGAGCGCCGCCCCTGACCCCACCATCAGCCAGTCCTTCTCCTCGTCCTCTGCCTTGCGCTGCCAAGGAACGCTCCAGCTTGTGGGCCCGGCTGCTGTTGTCGCTGTAGCCTCCTCCGGCCCCGGGGCCCTGACCCCGACCGCCCCTCCTCCACCTGGCTCCCCGTCGTCCCCCTCCAGGTTGACGTAGAGCAGAGGCTCCTTCAGCGGGGGGGTGGGAGACAGGCTGAGCCACAGCGCCTCCAGCTGGATGACCAGATGTTGGAAACTGGGACGACATTTGGGGACGGGACTCCAGCAGCTGTGCATGATCTCATAACTGACACAGAAGAAGAAGAAGACGTCAGGTGATTGGTGTCATATATGAATATTAACTAGATTTTTGAATACAAGATGGCGCCTCTTTACTCCAATAAAGTTGCTTGCTTGTTTCTAGTTTCCGGGTTTACTTACACGGTATGCGGCCCACCCATTGTTACCGCTTGGTTTAAAGACTTGACGTTGTGATGGCATCAAAGATTTAAATCGCTTTTCTCAACTTGACTAAAGTTTTACAAACAAAAAACCATCATTGATCAAAAATTCCTAACAGACATTCATAATTGACCTTATTTGCAATTCGAGGGTGTCCTGTCAACAGTTTTACAGACGTCTCTCTTATAATGGAGGTCTATGGAGAAAATGCTGTGTGGTTTGTTTATTTTTTGTTGGTGTAATACCGTGAGTGGCCACTGGGAAAAATTGCCTGCAAGCCTGAGCAGCATTCGGTGGCCTGGTTCCTGTTCATAAAAGGGCATCTTTAAATGAACATCATGTGATGATAAAACTAATAATTAATTATCCAACTCATTCTCAAACACTGTAGAGCATTCAGGGATGTTGAAAACAAAGAGGCTATGAAAAAAAGGGTTGAGTCCAGGACTGCTTTGAATTTTGTCAGTACTACCAAGAACAGATTCACGTTGTATCAGTTGGAGCCAAATTTTGGTGCCTGAGAGCTCATCTGTGTGAGTGTAGAGAGAAAGTCAGAGTCAGGGCGATGACTCATGTAGTTACACTTTTCAAAACTCAACACTGACAGCACTTTTCTGAGACACACCAGAGCGTCTGGAGACGGACTGACAGGCTGCTGGTTGAAGGGATGAGTTTGGAAGGTGAGAAGTATTTTTTTTTTTGTGTGGTGTGAAATGCTCTGAATAAATAATGCTGACATTAAGAAGTTTGGACTTATTTTTCAAAACTGAAATGTGAAATGGTACACAACTCTAAATAAAAGTGATTTAGCATTAACAAATATTAATATTATAACATCATACAACATGAAAATTATGATATATGAGACACTGACTTTCATTAGATGTACTCATCAGCAGAACTCGGTAAACAACAATCCGGACTCCAACCTGCTGTTCATGGTTTTAATATATAAATAAAATTTACAATAAATAACTTCTATTGAACAATCTGCTGATGGGAGGGTCAAATATCTGAGATTAGCAAGAATAGTTTAAATATTTTGAGGTGAAAAAGTCAAATGTTAGAAGGATAAAGAAATAATGATACAAGTGAATTTTTTTTTTTTTTAATTCTAGCCTACTGTCCTTCGAATGTGAAAAATGTCCAAAAATAAAGTAAAAAAATATATAAATATAAAAGTTCAAAGTTGTAATATCATGAAAACAAGCTGTGTATTAGGATAAAGTTGTAATTTTAATTGGGAAAAAAAGGAGTATTATCAGCTATTACAGTAGTGGTACTCTATCACAGTAGTACAGTCAGCTGACGGGTGTGTAAGCATAGAATTATCACTGAAATTATGTCACCTGATGATGTCATGAGTTCACTTCCTCTTTTATTCTCATGACTTTTTTTCTTTCTACAATTAAAACTTTATTCACACAACATTTTCTAACAGAGACTCTTACTCTGTCTCAGCTGCTGTAATGATTCAGTACAGAAATGTCCTGTGGGTGTTTAAGCCCTGAGTCACGCCTCCCAGGCAGCGTTTCCTCTCAGGCTGTATATAAATTTCACGACCACTTGACCTTGACCACGACCCTCACTTTGACATCAAACAGACTGTGACTGGCAGGCAGAGCTGAGGGGTGAAAAGCCCTGCACAGTGGATGATGTTCAAATGTGATGCAGTGAGAAGTGTGTGTGTGTGTGTAAATGTACTCACATGTCATCTCTGCAGTCTGGAGGTTTCTTCAGTCGCTCTCCTTTGATCAGAAACTCATAGATCTCCGAGTTCTCCACGCCGGGGTATGGAGTCTGACCTCGGGTCATGATCTCCCACATCGTCACGCCAAACGCCCACTGAGACACACACACACAATCAGAGACAAATCGTATGTAAAGATTCAGCTGTCCTGTGTTGAGAGGTAAAGATACAGTGTGAAGTGAAGACAGGTGTGTGCAGGTGATGTAACAACAGGAACTGAGTGACTGTAGTTTGTCTGCTTCAGTTGGAGTTTTAGGATCATCACAGGAAACACTGTCTCTACATCAGCTGAAGAGACGCTCTGCTTCTTTACATCGTCCACTAAAGTTCAAACAAGCCAGAAAACTCAGCGAGTCATCAAAAACAAAAAAACACAAAGAGAACAGCATGTTGTATTTACAAGTGTATTACATAAAGTGTGTGTGTGTGTGTCTGTGTGATGTGTGATGTGTGTCAGTACCACGTCGCTCTGTGTGGTGTACACATTGTCGGCGAGACTCTCCAGAGCGATCCACTTGACAGGAAGTTTAGAGACGGAGCCCTGTCTGTAATAATCTCCACTGTAGATCTTCTTAGAGAGGCCGAAGTCCGCCACACACACCGTCATGTTCTCGTTCAGCCTGGAACACACACGCATTCAAAAAGAACATAAAGAGTTAAACAAAAACACTGCTGAAATTAAACCTTTACATTTAAAATCAAGTTAATAAAAGTTTGAAAAATCAAAGTTTTTATTGTCTCTGTGTTTCGCTAATATTTATTTCGCTGTGTTTTGTTTCTTTATCGACCAAATCTCATTTAAGTTGTCGCTATTTTATTTCATTTTGTCGCTGAGATGCCTTCAGGAGCCCATCAGAGGTTTTTAAGACATTAGAAAAATCTCTGTTTTTATTTATTTTGTTTTTATTGATTAATACAAAATAACTCAACTGAGAAGCTGAAGTTTGAGAAAATTCAGAGAAAAAAAATTAGAAATATTCAAACTGAAACTCATGATTAAAGAAATAAAAACTAGTTTTTATCTGTATGTAAATGAGGGGGCGGGGCCTGAGAGACACCGTTCAGGTGTTTTTAATATTTGTAATGTTTCTGCGAGCTTATTGGTGGAGTGACTCACATGCAGTTTCGGGCAGCGAGGTCTCTGTGGATGATGCTCCTGCTGCTCAGGTACTCCATCCCCCGAGAGATGTCCAACATGAACTGCAGCAGCGTCTGCAGAGACAGGTCCTGGTGGAGGGACACAGAGAGACAAGTCTTCTAAGAGTCTAATGTATTTGCTCAGATTAATTTTAAGTCACTTTTCAACCATAAAATCAAACTTCATCCTAGTTTTAGCTTCTTAAATCTCACGATTTGCTGCCTTTCTTTGTCATTAATCTCAGTAACTGAATATTTTTGAGTTTAAAGTGGGATTTATACTTGTGTGGCAGACCCTACACCATAGCCTACGCCACTGTGAGCATTTATACTTAGCTTGGTGTGTCTGTGTCATTCTGCAGTTACACCTCCAAAACACTAGTCAACTGCAGGGTTTAATTGATTCAAACACACATTAAACACACATTAAACACACATTAAACATGGCTTAGTAGAGAGTTTCAAACACAAATCAGCTTCACTATAACTCGCAGCATTCACAGACAAGCACTTGTCTTTATCTGGACACATTTTCCCCACAAATATAATATGCTAACGTTATTAGCACAAGCCTATGGCATTTTACATTGTATAAATTAGCCTAGCAGCTAGCAGACTTTTCCTCTACTCATATGAAGCCAGGGACAACAGCAACATTTAACAAAGGTAACGTTACAAAATTCAGCTCTATTACAACTCACAAGGTTCACTGACAAAACAACTGTCTTATACTAAACACGTTTTCCAAACAAATACAACATGCTAACGTTATTAGCACAAGCCTATGGCATTTTACATTGTATAAATTAGCCTAGCAGCTAGCAGACTTTTCCTCTACACATATGAAGCCAGGGACAACAGCAACATTTAACAAAGGTAACGTTACAAAATTCAGCTCTATTACAACTCACAAGGTTCACTGACAAAACAACTGTCTTATACTAAACACGTTTTCCAAACAAATACAACATGCTAACATTATTAGCACAAGCCTATGGCATTTTACATTGTATAAATTAGCCTAGCGACGAGCAGAGATTTCCTCTGCTCATATGAAGCCAGGATAAATCACACACAAGACTTAAAATGCTATTTTTGTGGAGGCTTTATTGTCTTCACAATTTATTGTTTCTTATCTGTGAAATTAAAGTAAATCAAAGCTTTGTTTCCACTGAGGGAAATGGTTTCAGCTTACAGAAACAGACAGGTCTGCGTCACCCTGAAGTGTAGATACACTTCTTGGGAGGTGCATGTCAGGCTACGCAAAAGGTAAGACGTAGGCTCTATGTTGACACAGGGTCTATGCCGTAGGTACGGCATCGATTTGATGCGGAAGTATAAATCCCGCTTAAGACTGTTGGTCAAACTAAACTAAACATTTAAAGATGTCGCCTTGGATTTTCAAATGTTTTTACAGACCAACCTCTGAATGAATTAATCAAGAAAATAGTTGACAGATTATTAATAATGAAAAAGAAAATGAAAACAATTATTAGTTGCAGCTCTACTGTTGCCAGTTAAAATAAATAAATAAATTTGCATAGATGAATATTCTACTATTAAAAGGAACAATTATTCTCAGTGAGCCTCTGGAAGACTTTTAATGTGAAACATCTGCAGGAAGTGTTTAACTGAAGTGGCTTAACGGTAACAAAAAAACAAAGTATAAAAGACTGCTGGTACAGTACACTGGTTAAACAAGTTGCTGCTGTACTGACGTAAATAAACATCATAATCAGTTTATTCAGACATGTTAACATGGAGGAAGTGTTGAGAATGAACAAGTGAAGTTAAAGGTCTCAGATGAACACCTGGTTCTCTGTGAGGTGTTACTCATGAGGCTAAAACTTTAAAAATAAAACAGATCTTTTAGAGGCTGTCTTACAAATGGATGTTCTCCAAGTCGAGACAGCAGCAGGAACGTGTGTAGATCTCCATGTTTCATGAACGGAAGAACCACCATTGGGATTGGCAGCCGCTGACCAGGACGTCGGTGAAGACTCACTCCTATTGGAAGAGAAGAACTGTCAGTCAAACTGCCTGACCTTTGACCCCTGGTAATGCGATGTGTGTGTGTGTGTGTGTGTGTGTGTGTGTGTGTGTTACCGATTAACTGGATGACGTTGGGGTGGTGGAAGTCCTTCATGTAGGCCGCCTCCTTCAGACACTGCTCGATGTCACCTGACGAAGTGATGTCAGCTGCAGGAGGACACACACACACAGAGTTCATCCAATGACACTTCAACTAGCTTCAGCCTGAACAACTCAACCAACACTTCAACTGATTCTTGCGTTTAATGTGTGTTCAATGTGTGTTTTGAATCAACTAAACTTTACAGCAATTCACAGAAACCTCCACTGCCGACTAGTGTTTTGGAGGTGTAACTGCAGAGTGACACAGACACACCACACAAGTATAAATGCTCACAAAAGCATACGTGCGTAGAGCTGACGCACAACTATAAAGCCTTTGACGCTTTTACTATTTTCAGGTTACACGCTTCAACAGAGAGTCAAATTGCTTTTTCTATTTACAGTTCAACTGATATTCAAACTGCTCTTACTCTTAATTTAACTTACTCTTAAATCAATGAAGGCACTTCAACTACTTTGAGTGTTTACTCATCAAGTGACAGCCCCACTGCTTTTAACCTCAACCAACACTTCAACTGACGCTTGAGTTGATTTTACTGTTTACATTTCCACTGCTCTCACTCTTTGAAATCAAATATTGAATGTTTTTTATCTTACACTTCAACTGCTTTCAGTTTGTACTTTTTTTTACATACATATTTACACATGTTTAAATACACAACATTTTTATGCTTTAATGATTACACTTTGGTTTTTGGCTTTTACACTTCACATGACACCTCAGCTCCTTTCAGTGTTAACAACACCCTGACTGGCACTTCAACACTTCAGTTTCAAAATATTTCATGACATTTGGACTTGTTTACAGTGTTTACAGTGTAAATGAGCCCACTTCAGTTTTGTTCAGTATGCTGAGACTTGGCTTCGCTTCTGCTTCATCACCTTTTAAAACAATGAAACACCAAAGAAGAAGAAATGTCAGACTCACATTTCAGCACTTTTACCGCCACCTTCTGGACAGACGAGTCCTCCGTCTTCAGGAACGCCTCACGCACCGAGCCGAACTCACCTGCACAGGTAAACACACTTAACACTTGTAACCTGATTTCTATCAGACAGAGTTTAATCAGGCACATTTAAGCTTTCATTTTTAGACTTGAAACTTTCTGAAGCCAAATTATTTAAGTAAATCAAAGTAATACAGAAAGCTATTGACTGATTTGGTAAATTTGATTTTAAAATCATTCTTCAAGCAGAAAATCTAAAACATCGCTCTGGTTTTAGTTTCTTAAATGTCACAATTTTCTCCTTTTCTTTGTTTTATATCTCAGTAAACTGAATCTTCTTGAATTTGCTGGTAGACCACAACAAGACATTTGTCACTCTGGACTCTGGTAATTGATAAAGAGTATTTATCAATATCTTTATAGACCAAACATGTCCAGTTTATTAGGAACAGCTGGTTCAAACTGAGTTGGCCTGTACGTGAAGCTTTAAATCAAACTGACATTCAGAGAGTTTAAGGTGTGTCAGCACTTTGTGCGTGTTTCTGTTTTGTACACATACACACAGCAACACTGAGCCACGCCACCCCTGTGTATAACACACCCACACACACACACACACACACACACACACACTGACACAGATGTCAGTAAGGGTTAACAAAGTTCAGTTTTTATGCTCCACAGATCTTTTTTAAATCAGGGCTCAAATCTTTCCTTTTGCATTTAATAAAGTTAAACTATTGATTCATATCTTTACTGCACTGTAAGTTGTATTATTACTTATTACTTATTTACTTTGTTTTAATCCTTTTAGATCCTTTTGTGTTTTAATATCATTTTGTGTTTCTCGTCTTGTTGCCTTCATGTTTTATGTGAAACATTATGAATTGTCTCGTAGTTAAAAGCTGCTGAACACAAACTGCTTCCTGCTCCCACACACATCCAGCTACTAAGCTAAGCTAATGCTATGCTAATGCTAAGCTGGCCTTTTATCAGGTTTCTATAAAAACATTCAAAAGTCACCAAATCATCTGTTTAAAGTCTTAATGATCTGCTCTGAGCTCTTTGTGTGCAGAATAATTTCTATCTTCTCACCTTAATAAAACCTTTTTTTTAATTGACTGTGATTTTATTTTTTGATTTTTCAGTTTTTTGTTATTAGTTTCCAAAATTTGTCAAATCAGACACCAAATGTTGTTGGTTTTTTTTAAAGAACGAAGATAAAACAACTCCTCAAGTTAAAAATCTTGTTACCTGTTTGTTAGTTTGTTTTGTTACTATATAAAATAATATTAAGACTTGGTTTTAGGGTTCAGGTTAGAATTAGGTTTTGATCACAGTTAGGGTAAGGGGCTAGGGAATGCATTATGTCAATGAGGGTCCTCACAAAGATAGAAGTACAAGGATGTGTGTATGTGAGTGTGCTGTTGTGTTACCTTTCCCCAGCATGTGACCCAGTGTCAGCAGCCTCTCTGGGATTAGGACGTCCTGCAGTTTGTTCTTCAGGTCATCGTTTATACCGAGACTATCCACTGGAGGGAGACACAGACACACACACACACACACACACACACACACACACACACACAGATGAAACTGTCAGACTCCTGATCGACAGTTTTAAAATATAGAATCTAAATCGATGCAGTGTAACCAGAGATACTGTCAGTTTTTATTCCACTCATTCTTCTTCCTTGTCAAAGCCTGCTGCCTGCATTACCCACAGTGCACCTCTCCCTTTGACAGCTATGTGATCGACTGTGCTGTGTTACCCAGAAACACAGAGGTCTCACTTCTTTCTAACTCCACACCTCCACATTTTTTTACTTTTCAAACTTGTAGTCTTCAGCCAACACTGACTCAAGTGACATCACTCGAGGACATTAATCAGACGTCACACATGAGTGACTAAAGACTTTATACTGCTGTTAATACACCTGGAGTGTGTCTCAAATCGCAGACTTCCCTTTGTACACTTAGGTGTGTGCACTGATTTCAACAGGGTGATGTCTCATCATACACTGCTGTTTTTGCACATACTGGAAGTGATGAAGGCTTTTTTTAACCACCATTTCTTCTTCTTCTTTGTCTTGTTTTTAAAAGGCGAATTACAAATAGACGGTGGAGCATTATTGCCAAAATTTGACTACTATCTCCGCCCCCAAATATACACCAAAGTTTTGACACAACGCCAATGCTGATTAAAATATGCCACCGTGGCTAGGAGCAAGTTAGCTAGCTTGCTAATGCAAAAGTTAGCTAGCAAGCTAACATTAGCACTGGCATTATTGTTTACAGTACCAAATCATTACAACGTCCATTCAGAGTGGACCCATGACCCACCAGTTGGGAATCACTGTTCTAAACCATCTGTACAAAGAGTTTGTCACGCTGCTAACCCAAATTAACATTTCTTTGTCTATTTATTTACATTATTTTGATGTTTTTAGTCGACCTCAGATTTGTGAAATGTTGCCCTATTTGTTAAGCATTTGTCTCGTTCTGACAATAAATGATAGTTTAAACCACAGTAACCTGTGGAGTATCTTCAACTTCTTTTCAGGGGCAAAAAACAGCCTTTAAACTTAAAGGAAATAATGATTTTAACTTTTTTAGATATTTATCGATATCAACTGATACAAATTTTTTTATTGTGATGATATTTTTAGCCATTTCGCCCAGCCCCAGTGTTTCGTTTACAAAGAATTAAATACAATCAATTAAATTAAATTATTTTGTTTATTATTTAGTATAATTTTCCTCGTAATGTCCAGTTATCGCCCGTGTTTTTGCCTTGTTCGAAGAAGCTACGTAACATCCACCTGTAAATTCTGTTGCAGAGGACGGCAAAAAGTTGTATTTTAACTTTGAACAGCAGTGTCATCTACTGTTATTGCTGCCGATATTTTCAGCTGGACTCACCTAATCTGTCCTGCTCTTATCCACTAACATGATTCCCGGTTTGTCGTCTCCCTGACGCAGCATTATCAATCAGATTCAGAGTTACAGGAAGTCAGTGTGTTGTGTTGTTGTTGTTTTGTCAGATGAATGATCTAGTTGGGACGTAGAGGAGGCTTTGGAGTTGAGAGGTGAAGGACATTAACTCATTTTATTATGTGAACATGTGCTGTACTCTGTCCCTTATACGTGACCGTATTTCTACTGTAATTTAGTCTCATGCTCCTTTTTCATGTCTGATATGATGGTTGAGTTTTCACCTAAAAGGCTTTTAATTTATTTGCATTTATTATTAATGTGAATTTTCTTCATCCTCTTCATCTTCTTATCATCATTAGTAGTAGTATTTTATATAATGTCATATGTTCTAATCAGGAGAGTTCTTACATGTGTGTATAACCTGTTAAATGTATAAAATCAATAAAGAAATGTTGGCAGATGATCCGATTGGCTGAGAGGCAGCAGGTAAATACAGGTGAAGTCCTCCAATACAGGCAGCAGTGTTTCCTGTAAACAGAACGCTGAAGGACATTCTGACTCTGACTCAAACTTTACTGAATAAATTCTAGTTTTTAATGTTTATTTTTTGGCGGCACATCAACACGTCAGAGTCGCTGCAGAACCTCCCTGAGGACCATCATGTTTCTAAGTTTTCCTCCGCACACCAGTCAAGTTTCTCTCACAGTTTACAACCATGCGAAAACATGGATACTTCACACACAGAAGATCTATACAATCAGCACAGTTTCAAAATTAAAGTCACCAACTCAGTGTCTAACCAAATACCACCAAAAACTAATCAGTTCATCGTTGAGTCCAGGTGAACATTTGTGTCGAATATAACCAAAATTCCTTTGAGGCATTCTTGAGGTATCGTGTTCACAAGGACGGACGGACAACTCAAAATCATAATGCCTTCGTCCACAGCTGTCGCCAGCGCAGAGGCATAAAAATGACAGTTTGTAAATCAATATAATCGTCAGACTCACATGTGGACTCCTGCAGCTCAACACAGTTTCTGTTGAAGGATCGAGCTGCCGTGAACGAGACGGAGCTCTCAGGACCTGGAGGCTTGAAGGCCGAACTGAACACAGACAGACAGACAGATACAGAGTTACAGCCTCTTTAAACTTCTCAGTATCAGTCTGGTGTTTTTCTACATGTTTATTATCAAACCTCGTATTCAGACTCAAACCAACAAATGAACATGAGGTCAGTTGGTAAATGTGTGTTAAATTTTTTGTACCCAAACTGCGTCTCTTTGCCGCGGCGGTGAGTGATGATGGTGAGCAGCAGTCCCACGATGGTGGCCACCAGCAGGCCGAGCAGCAGGCCGACCCACATGTGGCTCCGCTGCGCCTGGACCTGCACTGAGGGGTCGACCACATCACAGAGTCAGTCGATAAACTGAACACAGATCAAAGCAACATCACGTCTCTCAGGTGTGTTTGTTTACCTGAGGCGGGCAGCACCAGCACCGGGGGGCTCCAGGGTCCACAGCCCACGGAGGTGCACGCCGACACCTGGAAGGAGGCGTTGAAGAAGCGTCCTCCTCCTGACAGCTGAGCCCAGTTCTCCTTGAACAGCAGCGGCTCCTGTGCACAGAACATGATCATGTAGAGGAGTCAAAAATCCCTTTTACACTTTCTCAACAAGGTGTAAAAATCACTCCTTTATTCTGCCTTGCCGTTCTGTGTAAGGCTGTCATCACGATCTTGCGATGAAAGACAGCCTGGGATGCACTAAACTTAAAAGATTTATAAAATCTCACAGTCTGTGGGAGGCTTTTATGCACGATTCATATGTCTGCCTTAAAATCACACACTGGAGCGCCATGATGCCGCCATCCTTTGGTGCTGTGTAAAAATCCAAAGGTGAGATGAAGAACGGACTTCGTAGCGGCTTTATTATGTGATCTGTGTGAAAAGGGCTACAGTCTCCACCTGACCCACATCTGATCTGACAACTCACCCTTTGACCTCTCACCTGTGGCTCTCCTCCCAGAGTCCACTGCACCTTGTAGGCCAACAGTTTCCCCTGCAGCTCCTCCTCCTGCAGCGGAGCCCACTTCAGAGCCAGCTGCTGCTCCGACAGCTCAAACGTCAGGTTCCTGGGGGCCGCCGACGGCACTGAGGACCACAGGGTTAAATATTGACGTTATTATACAGCAGTGATGATGATGATGATGATGATGTAGTGACACTCGAGTGTTCACTGATGATCAACAGTTTATTTTACATCATAGTGTTAAAGAGAAACTGTTTAACATGCAGCTCTCTGTCTCTGATCATCTTCAGCTTCTTCCTTCGGACTCAATGAACCTCCTGAAGCATCAGATCCGTCTCATGTGGCCTGAATGTGTCGGACAGACTGCGGCTGGTCTGAGGTCAGTGTCCAGTCAGCCTGCAGGGGGCGCTGCACAGAGAGCCCGCAGGCTGCAGCACAGTCCTTTCATATGGATCGAGGCCACAGACAAAAGCTGATTGTACGGAGAGGACTGGAATCTACTGGAGCCCATCCAGCTGGACCCAACACACAACAAACACACAAATACACAACACCAACAACAAACCAGCTCTCAGCTCAGAGAAAACAGGAAACCAACAGACAGCAGGATCTCTGTGGTTCACTCTCATTGAAACTTTTCATGCTTTCTGTGGAAATAAAATATTTATTCAAACTGTTTAAACTGGTTCCCAGTTTGATGCCGTTTCTCCACTGGTGTGTTCACTCCTTGTGTGTGTGTATTCATAAATATGTGCCTTAAATGTTCTGTGAGTAACTTTCAGAAAATCCTTTTTATTAGGGACCCCTCTCTCTGCTGTGAACGAGCACCTGGGCATCAATTAAATCAGTGACAAACATGAGACAGTGATCGACTGTCATTATGTTGATAAAATGCTGTAAAATTAATTACAATCATATTTATAATAATGTTATTTTTTTGTAATGTTCCTATATTTCATTTGGACCATTGGCTCCACGCAGAACCCCCAAAATTACATCATTTATCACAGTCAGAAACTCTAATAACAGAAATTATTGTTGGATTTTCAAATTTACGACGGTCCACAAACACATCATAGGGTTTCCCACACATTCATTTATCTGTGGCGCCCGCCACAATCAAAACATCTGCCGTCACAAATAGATTTTCTATTTTTGGAGCTGGACCGATCTTTCGGGGGGTTGTTTAAATATATATACCATTCCATATTTATAGCACCACACTGTTGGAGCACAGAGCGTCTCTTGGCACAGACGGAGCAGCAGAACGTCAGGAGCGTTGAAAGTGAAACTTAAAAGTTCACTCTCCTGAAATGATCTAAACTTGCCTCTGCAGCAGCTGCCTCTCACATCTATTAATCTGACCAATCAGCTCTGAACAGACCGACAGATCAAATATCATAAAGTGCTGCAGAGGAAACAAGAAAAAAGAACTCATGAAGAGCTTTGCCTGCGCTGCGTTCATGGACCCACAAAAACGTTTGTATTAAAAGATGGGACATAGAATGATACAAAGGGACACACACATTTAAAAGAACGTTTTTTTAGTATTGAATGATCCAAACCTTAGAGCACGATTATACCCTGAACTTGGCCAAACCTAAGATTGAAAACATGCATATGAAGGTTTTTTTCATGTTGAATGGTCAGTATGTTGTGTGATGTCGTCTCTCACCTGACTCAGGCGTCAGGAAGTGAAGCCAGGGGCTGAAGGGCGACGCCCCCACCTCGTTCACACAGGACACTCTGACGCTGTAGTTGGAGTGACTCCTCAAACCAGACAGGACCTGGAGGTGAGGAGGAACCTGAAACTCCTGCTGAGGGAGGTCCGACCTCCGCACTGAACGCCTCGACAGCTGAGGAGGAGAAGGAGATTTAAACAGCTGCTGATTGATATCATTTTGTGATTGACTGATTTACGATCAGTCCATTGTGTGTGTGTGTGTGTGTGTGTGGGTGTTACCTGGAGGACGCAGGTGGACAGCTCAGAGTGTCCTGTGAATCCTGGTTTCCATGACAATGTGACGTTGTTGTCCACCATCCTCAGGACCTGCAGCCCGACCGGTGCTGCCGGCAACACTGAGACAGAGACCCCGCCCCCCTCAGAGAGTCATCATCCAATCACAGCTCAGCAATAACCACAGTGACCGGTCACATGACGTCAGCAGTAAAAGACAAACTGACCTTTAATGTGGACAGTTCCTGTTCTGGAGACGGAGATCCCTCTGGTGTTCTTCGCTTCACAGTAAAACTTCACACTGCTGTTCACTCCTACAGACAGACAGACAGACAGACAGACAGAGACATTAAATCTTCAATACTTTGTGTATTAGATATTTTTCTGCACAATGAGAACGAAAGACCGCTAGACGCTAGGCTAATTTATACAATGTAAAATACCATAGGCTTGTGCTAATAACGTTAGCATGTTGTATTTGTGGGGAAAATGTGTCCAGATAAAGACAAGTGTTTGTCTGTGAATGCTGAGAGTTATAGTGAAGCTGATTTGTGTTTGAAACTGTCTCTATTAAGCCATGTTTAATGTGTGTTTAAAAAAAGTGTGTTTGAGGACAGAGATATGGGGGTCCACACAAAACTCCTGGTCTACAGGGCTGTTGTCCTCCCTACCTGTCCTACCTACTGTATGGAGCTGAGACTTGGACCACCTGTGGCAGGCACCTGAGAGCCCTGCAACAATACCATCAGAGATGCACCAACATCAGCGTTCAGGAGGAAGCAAACATGACCAGCATCACCACCATGATAACACCGCACCAACTTCCATGTACAGGCCATGTCATCTGCACATCTGACACATGACTGCCCAAACAGACCCTGTACTCCCAGCTGAAGCAATGTCAGCGAGCCCCTGGTGGGCAAAAAACTGCTTCAAGGACATTATCAAAAATCCATCCATCCAACCATTTTCATGCACTCATCCGGGGCCTAGTCATGGGGGCAGCAGGCTGAGCAAAGCACTCCAGACGTCCCTCTCTCCAGCAACACTTTCCAGCTCCTCCTGGGGGACCCCAAGGTGTTCCCAGGCCAGATGAGATATATAATCCCTCCAGTGTGTTCTGGGTCTGCCCTGGGGCCTCCTACCAGTGGGACGTGCTGCCCAAAATAATCAAAACTAATCTAAAAAATATTCCACATCACTCTGAGCAACTGAGAGCACACTTCACTTGATGGGCACTGCATGAAGACATCTATACAGGAAGGTGCTGCACATGAAACAGAACTCAAATGCGCCGCAGAGACAAAGCGACAACACTGCAAGAACAGGCTCAACCACCATGACGTTATCCTGCTCCTGCTGCAGCAACATATGTGGATTGCTGCCTCTGCAGCCATCTGTAGACCCACAATTAGACAAGCCATCATGGAGGACAGTCATACTTGTCTGGAGTGACTGTGGATGATGATGACTGTGTGTTACAGTGCGTGTGTGAAGGTCAAACTGTTCATACAAATCGCCCCTGGTGGGATTTATAGTCTGAATCTGAATCTGCAGATTGTGGCATTAGTGTTCTCTTCACGTCTTTGATGTTCTGACAGTCACAGCACATCTCTAAAATCTGTCACAGTCATAAACTCGTTCTTCACGTGAATGAATCTTTATCATAACTCAGCTCAGTCGGAGCCGTCCTGCAGCTGCTCCACGACATCCTGATCACAGCTGTGATGTCACCATGATGATTAATAACCGAGATCAGTTTAACTCTGATGTATATCTAAGATACAACTTCCTGTAAAAAGACACATCTCACTGACAGGAAACACTGCCGGTGTGTGTGTGTGTGTGTGTTTCCAGGAACAGACTGATGTGGAACAGGATCCTCCAATCAGCAGCAGCAGCTCAGATGATGTCATCCTGCATATAGGCAATCAATATTGCTGAGTGTGCGTGTGTGTGTAGCTGAATTCAACGTATAGTCTGCTCCGCTGGAATGTCATCGCTAGGCAACAGCTGGAATGCATATGTACTTCCTGTCAGATGATGTCACTCACATAAGCTGCATCCAAACTCACACACTGTGCTCCACATACCCAGCATGTGCACTGGAACATACTTCGGTGTGAATGAACAGTAGTGTCATCCTGAGGGAATCTTTACAGGTAAGAGATGCGTAACCATGGCAACCCGTGCCAACCTTAGCTCTAATGGTAGCTTAAGAATAATTCGTAAGTAAAATCAGTTATCCTGGAGGCAGCTTGTCCAAACATCAGTTCAGCAGTACAAATCTTACACTTAAACCAATGCATAATTGACGTTACAGAACATCTTGGTTGCTGTTCGTCATGAAGGTTGTGGACACTAGCGACACTATGATGTCATAAAGACGATGTCATTCATCAGCTTTCATAAAAACATAAACTCAAACCTTAACGGTCTAACAGTGTCAGACTGAACCAGCTCCACCCGTCAGGAGTGACCTTTGGCTTAATTCAAACGCTCACATGCGTCTGACTCACACAGCTCAGCATGCTCTGTGTGTGTGTGTGTGTGTGTGAACATAAATACATTACAGTGAGGCAATATCCCTTTCACTGACAGCACACACACACCCACATACACACAGTGACTCAGTAATTGATCAGAAGCAAAGACAGAAACAGGAAGAGAGACAATCACCTGTACCAGTGGTTCTCAGCCAGAGGTCTGGGGACCCTCGGGGGTCACTGAGGGAGTGAACGATGTGTTATAGTTTATATTCACTGTTTACTTCACCATAGCAGTGAGACCAGTGTGAGAGTCATGAGAGAGACTATTCTGATCACAGGTTTCACTTCCTCAGGGTTCCCAACACATTCATTTACATCAGCATCTGAACCACATATTGATTTTCTACTGCTGGAGCTCCACTGTTCACCCAGAGTGCTGCTGGAAGTGTGTACATATATATACATATATATATATGCATATGTACATGTATTTAGTTATTCAGAGCCCACACTCTCAGAGCGCAGATCGACTCTGGGCACAGACGCAGCAGCAGAATGTGAAACTTAACTGTTTATTAATTCATACCTTAATAGAACTCTCTATTAGATGACAGTGCTCCCACTTTGGTGTTTTCCCTCTTTACTTAAGGTGAAACCAGCTGCGTTCCCGTGGAAACCATGCACCCCACACCCTGCAGCGCTGGGTATGAAAGTTTGCTGTCACTCGCCTCTGCAGCAGCTGCTCCTCTAATCCCTCAATCAACACTCACATTCACACCTACGGACAAGAGTCACCAATTGACCTGCATGTCTTTGGACTGCGGGAGGAAGCTGCAAACTCCACACAGAAGGGCTCCCTCACCCCGAGTTCAACTGTGAGCCCACCATTGGGCGCTGATTTACACCAGTGTTCTCTCTTCCTTCTGCTATCTGTGTGTTACCGTTTCCAGATCCCCTTCACTACAGAAAACAACAACCTCTGAGTTAACGACCCACAGGCTGAAAATGTCACGTTTTGATGAAGACTTGAATCGTGCAGTGAGGCATGGCTGCTTTGTTGTTTCAGTAAAATGTTGTTAAGATCTACAACGAATAAAACAACTTGTGAACGCACCTCAGGAGAGACCAGACTCTGTCGTGATGTTGATCTGACACGGCCAGTCGGAGTTGATTAGTCACGTCTTTTTAACGTGGCAGCTTCATGCACCGGTGACACTGACCATGACGCCAGTGTACTGATCCATGTCACACAAGCTTCTGTGATATCGTCATAATATTGATCTGTTATAGCCACAGACAGACAGCAAATCATCTGTGGTTATAACAGGTCCACTGAGCATCTCCAGAGTTTAAGAACAGTCAGGCTTCACCTCCAGGGCTCCGATTCTCAGATCATGTTAGCCTGTTTTTTATCAATCAGAATTGAATGTCTGTTTTGTTTTGTGGGGCCATTTTAATGACAGCGCTCGCTCGCCTCCTAAACTGCAAATGTTTCACCAAAACAAGCTACGCTATTTTGCAAAAACACTGTTGCTGCATCCTGGCCAAGTGGACATTAGAGGAACTGCAGTTTTTGGTACTTCACGTTGGCTTCATTTTTCCGAGTGACCTGCCCACCATAACCTACACGTTAATCCACAACAGTCCCCCTCGCTCCATGTCCCGGAAGGGGAAGCTATGAAGAAGATGCTAAGTTAGCGTTTAGCTTACTATGAAGTATCAGGTTGACACTATCCACACCACTGTTGAGATTTTCCATCATTTATGACACAACGCTTCTCCACCATTGACAAGGTATTTTGGCGGTCTGTGTTTTCACTGTTATAAGATATCTTGTGAAATAGAAAAGCACTGCCGTGGTGCCACTTTTGTTGCCACTCTTGCCACTTTTTACTCGACAAACCTCCAAATTCAGACGATACAGAATGCAGCAGCCCCATCAGGGAGGGAAGATGTCTCATTCTGAGGCTCTATAAACCAAATAACCAGAGGGTGCAGCACAGCGCAGAGGCAGACTGCAGCTTATCTTGACGTCATCCACAACAGACTTACAAACAACCATCACAAAGACCATCTGTGAATTATATGTTTCCAGAGGGCACAGTCAGAGAGCACTGTTATTACAAACTGCTGTAATTATGTTTGTGAGCTTAAAAGTCAGAAACACCAGATCAAGTTCAAACTGACTCCGTGGCAGAAAATCAACGTCTACAAACTTTGTACTGACTCAGAGAGATTCTGCTGCTGATCACCTGAGATCATTCATATAACAGGAAGTCAAGTCATCTGACGTTCACATCAGGACAATGATTATTACGTTACTGTAAAGTTGTTCATACAGAGAGAAGTGAAGTGTTCTTAAATCAGACAGATTAAAACCAGAACGGTCCAAATCTGAGCAGCAGGTGGAGAAACACTGGATCCTACGTTTCCCATAATGCACCTATTTGTGCATCTCTGCCTTGTAAACAGCCTCGTCTTCATCGCACACTGAGAGCAGGAGATGTTCTGACCTTGGACGTGGAGGACGGAGGGGGACGGTCTGGGCTCTCCCTCCTGGACTCCACCCAGCCACCACAGCACCTCCACAGGCTCGGGGGGGCCGACGGCAGCACAGGTGAGGTTGAAGGGGACGTTTGGGAACGTGGCCACGTCCTGCGGCTCCTGGATGAAGTGAGGGACACCTGCAGGAGACAGAAAGCAGGAGTGCATGATGGGAAATCTGCTGTGAGGAGGAAACAACTCTGAGACAAGAAGAAGAAAAAAATCGATGCAGATAAGACGCAGCAGTGATGGAGGTGCATTCAGGGTCACACAGGAGGACTGGTTGTCAAGGTTCGCACTTCCAAATCAATTTACATTTGGATGAAAATTAGGACAAAACAAAATTTAGGAGCGGGAACCAGAACAGAACTTATTCTATATCGGTTGAAAAGCTGTATTAGAGGCGTTCACTGACTTCAAATGTAAACAGATAAACAGGTGGTGCGTTCAGGGTCCTCACCTTCCACTGTGATCCAGGCTCGTTCAGAGGAGAACGTCAGGTCGTGGAACTCAACCTCACACCAGTACTGACCCGCGTCCTGCTGCTGGACCGACTTCACACTGGAGACACAAACACACAGAACATCAGAACCTCAACAGGAACCAGACACACTTAGTCAGAGTGTTCACAGTGTGCTAAAGCAGTGGTTCCCAACTGGTGGGTCACGGTCCAAAAGTGGGTAGTGGACCCAATCTGAATGGATGGCAAGTGACTCACAAACGTGTCATGTTTGTAAAAAAACGCATTTCATTTTTAAAAAATTTCCTGCGCAGAACTTTTATTTTGAAGTGCCGTGCAAACTGGCTCGACGACATGGCCGAACGCAAGCATGACGCTGAATATATTAAACTCAGCCCCTAGATATATCTCTGACATGCTTGAGACATATGAACCTTCTAGGACCCTGAGGACATCTGGGGCCGCCCACTGATCATCCTGAGAGTCACAGCAAAACACGGTGATGCAGCGTTTTGTTATCACGCAGCACAAACCTGGAATAACCTCCCAGATGTTAGACAGCCCCGACTCTGAACACTTCTAAGTCAAAGCTACAAACTTTCCTCTTTACACTGCCTACTTCTGTATCCTTCATAATGTTGCATTTCATTGCTGTGTAAAGCACTTTGAGTTGCCCTTGTGTATAAAATGTGCTGTACAAATAAAGCTGCCTTGCCCATGGCCGTAGGCTTTATCTGATAAGATAGCACAGGATTCATTCAAAGTTAAACCAAGTGAGTGGGTTTCAAACACCTCACTCAAAGCTTTAAAAATGAGATGATGTTTCTCAGGCAAGTTCTGCAGCCTCTTTCTTTCTGTGATGAACATCAGAGATAATGAGACGTCACACTGAATGAGGTCAACATGTGTTTCATGTCTGTGTGTTTCATTTTACTGAAGGATGAAGAAGAGGAGGAGCGTCAAAGATGTGTCAAAGTTCCAGTGTGTGAAATAACAGTCAGATCTGCAGATTACAACCAAATGAAATGTCTCCTGGTTAAAATTATTTGTGTTCATTATTCAGGAGGTTTTTATCGGTAGCCCAACTATCCACAGAGCTCTCTTCCTCTCCAAACTAAATGGACCAGGTGATTTAAACCAGTAAAAACACTTAATAAAACAGTTTCATGTTTCAAATCAGTGTTTCTCTGACGCTGGTTGTTGAAGAGACGAGGTGCTATCCCACCACCTGCTCATCTGTGCTCAGCTTTTTTCTCTGATGAGTTAAAGTTTCTGCTAAGAATCAGGTGCCGGTTGCACAGAACACTTAAAGTTAAGATTTTCCTTAAAGTTTCCTCAAAATAAAATCGGTTGCACAAAACACCCTTAAGTCTTCTCCTTAAGGTTTCCTTCACATAAGTATTCATGGTTTTCTCCTTGTCTTGGTCTTACACTTAATGAGTCCCCGGACTGTTGCACAAAAGACCTTAGTAACCATAGTCTCGCCACCAGACAATCAGAGATCTCCGCCTTCTGATAGTCTGGGGACACTCCTTTCTAAAGTGTGTTTAACAACAAAGCAATGCCTCTTGCATTTTTGAAAAGGATACGCCTTCTCGGAAATGTGCGCTCCTCCTTTTCTCGTCCGCAAGGAAACAAACACACAGAGAGCTTGAAAATGGATGCCGAGAGATTTAACTCCGTTTTATCAAACGTGTGCTCATCCGTGAAGAAAATATTTTTCCAGCGGATGTCTTAGTTACAACATGATTGAGCTAACTGGAGTAGTTTCATGTCGTATCCGACAACGGGAGGCTTTTAACAGATGACGTCCTGATGTTAGCTTTGCTGCTAGTGTTAGCTGTCCCTGTCAGCTGCAGCTACTGATGCTTTCTAGACATTGTGACTTCCCAAAACTGAATAAATACCACACATAGCAACACAAAACTGCTTTGCTAGCTCAATCATGTTGTAACTAAGATAACCGCTGGAAAAAATATTTTTTTCACGGACCATTTAGTGAGTTATTACCTATTACAGACACCGCTAACGGCTAACAGGGCTAACAGGGCTAACAGCTAACGGTTAGCCCAGCTAAACATGCACACAGAAATAGTAATGTTTGTTCAATCATTGTGTTTATAGACTTTACAAACAAAAAATGTGATATACAGTACAGGCCAAAAGTTTGGACACACCTTCTCATTCAATGCGTTTTCTTTATTTTCATGACTATTTACATTGTAGATTCTCACTGAAGGCATCAAAACTATGAATGAACACATGTGGAGTTATGTACTTAACAAAAAAAGGTGAAATAACTGAAAACATGTTTTATATTCTAGTTTCTTCAAAATAGCCACCCTTTGCTCTGATTACTGCTTTGCACACTCTTGGCATTCTCTCCATGAGCTTCAAGAGGTAGTCACCTGAAATGGTTTCCACTTCACAGGTGTGCCTTATCAGGGTTAATTAGTGGAATTTCTTGCTTTATCAATGGGGTTGGGACCATCAGTTGTGTTGTGCAGAAGTCAGGTTAATACACAGCCGACAGCCCTATTGGACAACTGTTAAAATTCATATTATGGCAAGAACCAATCAGCTAACTAAAGAAAAACAAGTGGCCATCATTACTTTAAGAAATGAAGGTCAGTCAGTCCGGAAAATTGCAAAAACTTTAAATGTGTCCCCAAGTGGAGTCGCAAAAACCATCAAGCGCTACAATGAAACTGGCACACATGAGGACCGACCCAGGAAAGGAAGACCAAGAGTCACCTCTGCTTCTGAGGATAAGTTCATCCGAGTCACCAGCCTCAGAAATCACAAGTTAACAGCAGCTCAGATCAGAGACCAGATGAATGCCACACAGAGTTCTAGCAGCAGACCCATCTCTAGAACAACTGTTAAGAGGAGACTGCGCCAATCAGGCCTTCATGGTCAAATAGCTGCTAGGAAACCACTGCTAAGGAGAGGCAACAAGCAGAAGAGATTTGTTTGGGCCAAGAAACACAAGGAATGGACATTAGACCAGTGGAAATATGTGCTTTGGTCTGATGAGTCCAAATTTGAGATCTTTGGTTCCAACCGCCGTGTCTTTGTGAGACGCAGAAAAGGTGAACGGATGGATTCCACATGCCTGGTTCCCACTGTGAAGCATGGAGGAGGAGGTGTGATGGTGTGGGGGTGTTTTGCTGCTGACACTGTTGGGGATTTATTCAAAATTGAAGGCACACTGAACCAGCATGGCTACCACAGCATCCTGCAGCGACATGCCATCCCATCCGGTTTGCGTTTAGTTGGACGATCATTTATTTTTCAACAGGACAATGACCCCAAACACACCTCCAGGCTGTGTAAGGGCTATTTGACCAAGAAGGAGAGTGATGGAGTGCTGCGGCAGATGACCTGGCCTCCACAGTCACCGGACCTGAACCCAATCCAGATGGTTTGGGGTGAGCTGGACCGCAGAGTGAAGGCAAAGGGGCCAACAAGTGCTAAACACCTCTGGGAACTCCTTCAAGACTGTTGGAAAACCATTTCAGGTGACTACCTCTTGAAGCTCATGGAGAGAATGCCAAGAGTGTGCAAAGCAGTAATCAGAGCAAAGGGTGGCTATTTTGAAGAAACTAGAATATAAAACATGTTTTCAGTTATTTCACCTTTTTTTGTTAAGTACATAACTCCACATGTGTTCATTCATAGTTTTGATGCCTTCAGTGAGAATCTACAATGTAAATAGTCATGAAAATAAAGAAAACGCATTGAATGAGAAGGTGAGTCCAAACTTTTGGCCTGTATATATATATATATATATATATATATAGCTAAAAGCTCTGCTGGTTTTCTACCTGGAAATAGGCTATTTGTAAACAACAAGGCGATTCCCTCTATAGTCCGGCCAGACGGATGAGTCATGGCCTTGTAAAAGATAATGTTTGTTTCTTTTAGTTGGCGAGAATGTGTCGCCGCAAACGCGACAAACATCCACTAACTTTGACGGCATTTTCTGCGAGCGCGTCTGAGCCATTTTGTACCGCTATACGTGTTTCTAGTGGGACTCTGTTTACAAGCACAAGAGTTCAGCAAGCCACCGAAGGACCGCTCTGCAGATTTACTACTGGTTCCGCCCATCTAAACACAAAATCAGGGAGAAAGTCATCAGTCTTTAGTTAAGCAAAGCGTCTAAAGACTGACTTGTGAGTCTATAGTAACCAAAGCAAGATAAAAAAAAAAAACTTAAGGTCCCTCTGACTCTGTCTTAACTGCAACATGACTGAGTTTATGGTGATAAATGAAAAAACTAACACACCCTGAGAAGAGTGTTCAGCGACCATGAGAACCCAGTGGATACACTTCTGTTTTTACACTTTAGATCTGACCGAATTCATTTTTGTTGCCTCTTCCTTCAGTCGTTTTCTGGTGTTTGGTATTTGTTCCTCCAGAAGTTTAATCTTTTCCTCCTCTGACCAATATGGTTTTCATGTCTTCTTCTCCTCTGACATTTTTTCACTAACTTACTATAAGCTAACTTTGTGAGACGGTAACAGGCGTCACAAGCCTGAGTCCAAACAAACAAACAATCTCCATGGAAAGTTTTACCACTGTAAAATCTCTTTCAACACAGTAAATGAGTTTTTCTTTGACTAAGGAAACCTTTCAAGGGATTCTCTGCAACAGTCCCTTAGCTAAGGAGAAATTAAGCCTTAAGTGTCACACTTAAGGAGTGTGCAGGTGGTCCCAGACATTTAGAAAGTTTTTACCTGGAGCCGAATTATCCACAGAGGTCTCTTCCTCGAAACAAAACAGGTGATTTAAACCGGTAAAAGGCTGAATAAAGCAATAAAGCAGTTTCATGTTAAAAAGCTAATGTTTTCTGACACTCTCCTCGCACTACTGTGGCAAATGTTAAAATGCGAAAATGTGATTTTTCCCACATGGAAATTCTGACCAATCAAGAGCAGCTTTCTCACACAAGGCATTTGATCTGGTCCTCTTGTAAATGCTGCAGTGAGAACATGAACCAACTCTAGGCAATTATACAACTTTGTGACAACATGAGTCCCTGATTCAGACCAAAGGAGACGACTCTAGGGCTGACAGCAGCCTTAAAGTATTTTATTCTCCTCCATGATCTGTGTGTCTCTGCTGCAACTTCACCTGCTCACAAACTACACCAAACTAGCTTCCTGTTGCACTTGTCTCTTTCACTTCCCACGGTATATTTGTCTCACCTCAGAAACTTCAGGATCTCTAAAGCTCTCAGGTCAGTAATAAACCATGAGCTGTGCAGTTATAATTTTTCGGTTTCTCTGACCTTCACTGAGTTTTTTTCTTTCTGTCCAGGAATCTGAGAGTAAAGCCGATTAACCAGCCGCTGCTCCCCGAGCCCGACAGCTCTGAGCTCAGTTTCTCAGGCAACATTCAGGCTGTTTAAACAAAGACTCCTGATCCCAAACCAGCCATCAAAGCTGATATATTTTTACCCAGAGGACCCTGGGAGCTGCTGAATTCCTCGTAGTTGACTTGTCTGAGTGTTTATGTCACCGTGTTTCTGATGAATGTAATGACTCATAATAAAGTCTGCATGTGGACGCCTGCAGCACCGAGCAGCTCAGGATTACTCCACACTTACAGATCTGCAGTGTGTGTACTCAGGATTTGACATTTTAAGTTTAAAAATGCAGGTTATGTAACTTAAAACTGAAGTTCAGCTGCGTGTCAGACTTCAAACAATGAAACTATCCAGTATGAAAAGACATTAAATATTCTGATGGTTTAATTTATTGTATTTAACTGAGACAAAGTTCTTGTTTGGCTAAAATGACGCTGATGCATTTGCAAAGTTTAAATGTGGTCTAATCTGTCCTTGGGAGAAGGAGTGAAGAGACAGAGGAGGAGGAGAGCGTCAGTCTTCAAAGCAAACAGCAGCTCTGCCTGTATTTACTGTCGATGAACTGTTTAACCATCAAACAGAGCAGAAACACCAACAAACCAACACTGACCTACACACACACTCACTGCCTCCACCTCCACACTGCCTTTACTGAGGGGCCTCAGATGCTATTAGACAACCAGACAGCACTCTGACTACAACCAGACTTCATAATGTTATTGGCTGATTTAAGATCGTTAGAAGTCGCTGCAGAACACACAGAGAGAGTGTGTCATGAATGTAAGATCAGACTTTATTAATCCCAAGACAGGGAAATTCACACGTGTTGGATGTTTTGAAGTGAGCTAAAACAAATACTTAAATATAACTTCACTTCACCTCAATGTACAAACTTCAAGTTTAGATGCTGCAACAACCAAAAAGACTTTATATTTATTTTTAAAATGTATCTTAAAACACAAATCTGTTATCAGCTGTTTAAATTAAACTGACATCAGACTTCGAGCAGCTGCAGGACTTTTACTTTGAAGGAGCTGCGGGGCTTTTACTTTGAAGCAGCTGCAGGACTTTTACTGTGAAGAAGCTGCAGGACTTTTACTTTAAAAGGAGCTGTGGGACTTTTGTTATGAAAGAGCTGTAAGACTTTTATTATGAAGCAGCTGCAGGACTTTTACTGTGAAGCAGCTGCAGGACTTTTACTGTGAAGCAGCTGCAGGACTTTTACTTTGAAGCAGCTGCAGGACGTTTACTTTGAAGCAGCTGCAGGACTTCTACTTTGAAGGAGCTGCAGGACTTTTACTTTGAAGCAGCTGCAGGACTTCTACTTTGAATGAGCTGTGGGACTTTTACTGTGAAGCAGATGTGAAGCAGCTGGAGGACTTTTACTTTGAAGCAGCTGCAGGACTTTTACTGTGAAGCAGCTGCAGGACTTTTACTTTGAAGCAGCTGCAGGACTTTTACTGTGAAGCAGCTGCAGGACTTTTACTTTGAAGCAGCTGCAGGACTTTTACTTTGAAGCAGCTGCAGGACTTTTACTTTGAAGCAGCTGCAGGACTTTTACTTTGAAGCAGCTGCAGGACTTTTACTTTGAAGCAGCTGCAGGACTTTTACTTTGAAGCAGCTGCAGGACTTTTACTTTGAAGCAGCTGCAGGACTTTTACTTTGAAGCAGCTGCAGGACTTTTACTTTGAAGCAGCTGCAGGACTTTTACTTTGAAGCAGCTGCAGGACTTTTACTTTGAAGCAGCTGCAGGACTTTTACTTTGAAGCAGCTGCAGGACTTTTACTTTGAAGCAGCTGCAGGACTTTTACTTTGAAGCAGCTGCAGGACTTTTACTTTGAAGCAGCTGCAGGACTTTTACTTTGAAGCAGCTGCAGGACTTTTACTTTGAAGCAGCTGCAGGACTTTTACTTTGAAGCAGCTGCAGGACTTTTACTTTGAAGCAGCTGCAGGACTTTTACTTTGAAGCAGCTGCAGGACTTTTACTTTGAAGCAGCTGCAGGACTTTTACTTTGAAGCAGCTGCAGGACTTTTACTTTGACGGAGCTGCAGGACTTTTACTTTGAATGAGCTGTGGGACTTTTACTGTGAAGCAGATGTGAAGCAGCTGGAGGACTTTTACTTTGAAGCAGCTGCAGGACTTTTACTGTGAAGCAGCTGCAGGACTTTTACTTTGAAGCAGCTGCAGGACTTTTACTGTGAAGCAGCTGCAGGACTTTTACTGTGAAGCAGCTGCAGGACTTTTACTTTGAAGCAGCTGGAGGACTTTTACTTTGAAGCAGCTGCAGGACTTTTACTGTGAAACAGCTGCAGGACTTTAACAGATTCAGAACAATATTGCCTCAGATTCTCGTGCCCTTCCACTGATTGACTGATTGATTGATTATTGATATATAAATATTGATGAACCTGTGGTATGTCTCCCAGTGCTGCTCTCCCAGTGTGATGAACATCTGGTCGGTGCTGTAAAGCTTCTCTCCGTCCTTCATCCACACAATGTCCGGCTCCGTCACTCCCTGAACGGCACAGCCAAGCCTCACGGCGTTCCCCTGAGTGACCGTCTGATTGGACGGATGCTTCGTGAACAACACACCTGCAGGAGAGACGACAGGAAGGTGAATGAACGACTACATTACATCATCAGGGTCTAACAAGAAGTCATGAAACACACAAAGGGTCAAATGATGGAAAACCATGTCGGAGGAAACATGATGGAAAACAGTGTCCTCATCACTGCTCACACACACCTCATCATTTCAGCTCTTCATGCTTCATGTACGTCGTCATTTATTCAACCAGTCTGGTTCTGCTTTTACCAACACATCTACTGTAACACCTCAGACAGGAAACACGCTGTTTAAAATACTTTTCCGTTTCTCTACTCAGTGTTTTATGTCCAATGTGAAACTGTGCATTAAAAAAGGATGTAAACACACTCAGATTTCTTCAGTTTGAAATCACGGTTAGCTTCGGTGTTAGTTAAAGCTCCCTGTGGAGTTTTCTTTCTCTGTTTGCATTCACTATGTCTCAACTACAGTCACTGGCCCAGTCCCAGTCCAGCTCCTACACCCTCTCCCCATCTGCTTCCACTCTGTTTGCACGTTCTCGTGGAGGATCCGCCACATTAAGTGCCATCCTAAAGCAATTAGCAGAGAGTGAAAGTGCATTGTGAAAGCCTCTAACAGTGAGTCTACATCAATGCTGACTCATAAACCACCAACTCCTCTCAAGTGCAGCATCTTGTTTGTGTCGAGGACGGAGGAAACCCCACATAATGTGAGTTCCGTTCAGTTATTTCCAAAGGAAAGTGAAAAGTTGCCACCTCACACAGACATTTAATAGACTGTTTTATTTGGCGCACACATTACAGAATTAGAGCAACGACACACATGTTGAACTGATTTAACTTGAGTAACTGTGTCGTCTAATTTCAGGGACTGGTGGAAAGAAAAGGACCAGATCAAACTGAGAAAGGCAAACAAAAAAAAAAAGAAATGCAGCCAAAGAAGCCTGGGAGTAAGTTTTATTTCTGTTAATTAATTAATTTATGCTAGAAGTCTCAGAAGTAATACGGATAGAGGACGAGACATACAAGATCAAAGCTGTGAACCAGCAGCAACAAGGAAGGTGGACAGACTCGGAGGCAGTCGCCAACAGAGCCATAACCTGGGCCGACATGTGGAAGATCCCTCAGGCAAGACGGAGCTTCCTCATCAGGTCCAACACCCTCCCAAGCCCCCAGAACGTACATCTCTGATACGGCTCGGAAACAAGCTGCAGTCTCTGTGATGTCAGTGAAGATTCTCAGTCATCCAGGTCATGGTAATCTTAAGTGCTATATCATAGGTAACTAGACTTGCTTTAGTTTCTTGACGACGTTTCACTTCTCATCCAAGAGAGTTCTTCAGTTCTAACGGACTGATGTGGAGTCGCACACTTTAAACTCTGTGTGGGTGTGAACTCTTACAGAGTCATTAAGGTCACATGTGAGTCCTTGACCCACCAGGCCATCTTGTATGTCGTTTGGGTTAGATGGGACAAGGTGACAATGGGTGTTTGTCTGGGGAGGGATCCCAAGACAGCATTGTAGGTGGGTGATAAGTGGTGTCTGTTTGACGATGGTCGTTCTAGTTTGACGTGATGGCTTCTTTCACTCCCCATCTGTCTTCTCTGGCAAAGATGTGAACATTGCTGTCCTCGAAAGAATGTCCCTTTCCTTTAGATGTAAATAGACAACTTATACAACAGACACAAAGTCTTGACCTGAGGAGTTGTGCAGCTAGGTGCTTGTGGAGTGGTTGTTTGGTTTCCTCTATGTACAAATCTGTGCATTCCTGGCTGCATTGACCTGCATACACTACATTACTCTGCTTATGCCTGGGTGTTTTGTCCTTACGGCGATCAAGCTTCTGCCTCAGAAACTACTGCTGGAAATCAACTTTGACCCAGAGCCGGTACAGATGGCGCCACGATGAAGTGCTCCAAAAACTGGCAGGTGTGGGAGGAACACAGGCTTGAAGCCGACAAAGCCTGTTATTCTCAAAACCACAGATACACTTCATTAGGTGAGGAGCTGAAGCGGAAACATCATCGGAAGGAGTGGTCTGTACTGACACCTGGATGTGAGTGGCAGGTGAGGATTGACCTGAACCAGCAGCTTAAGTTTCCACCTGAAATAACACCAACTTCCCTACAGCTAGACATCGTCCTGTGATCTATCTCTGCCAAGACAGTGATCATGTCAGAGCTCACAGTACGGTGAGAAGAAGTGACGGAGGAAAAAGGAGAAGAACGGTGAGCTTGCACTGAAGCAGGGTGGAAGGTATGCACCAACCCTGAGGAAGTCCGATGCAGAGGTTTTGTTGGAAAATCCACCCAGAAGCAACTAGAACCCCTCAGAGTCACTGAGTCCAAGCAAAAGAAGGCACTATGGGAACTGGCCGAGGAGACAGAGAAAGTGAGCTTCTGGCTGTGGCTCAAAAAAAGAGACCCAAAATGGGGAAACAAGAATCCGAGGGCCAGCTGCAGGGAGTGGTAGGGAGACAGTCCTACCACTACCCCACCACCTAGAGATGTTCTGGGGTTCAAGGGGCGAAACATCTGTAAAGGGTGGCTCCCAGCTGATGACCCTGCGTCTGGCCTGCTGGCACCAACAGAGGTGTGACAGGCAGAAATGCCTTGCAGGTTACGAACACCTGTGCTTTCATAAATTCATTTACCGATTGATTGGTTTTAATGAAAAAAGAATAATATACAAAAATTAAGCACAACAGCAGCACATACAAACAAAATAAAAGGGATTCAAATAGGCCTGCAAATGAAACACATGAAATGAGAGTAAGGTTTATTTTTCTCCATGGTTACGAAAAGTTACAACAGTTCCTGTTCCACTGGAGAGAAGGAAGTTCGTCCAGACGCTTGCAGCTATATTTGTATTAGGTCTGGGCCGATTGGACGATGTGATCGCTCATCACTGATAGCTCTGAGTCCAATGATGATTTTAAATTCTCCTGAAGGTCCCTTCTGGCAGACATCCTTTCATTTTAACCCAAACCTTAACAAAGAAATCCCTCACTGGTAGACAGCGCTATAGGTAAACTTCTCCCAACAAACGTACACGCCAACATCAGGATGCTAATGGCGTTCCTTCTGTGCTTAGAAAGTTACAATTCTGATTCACTTCAGATTCTATTTAATTCAATTCAATTTCATTTATAAAGCCCAATATCACAAATCACAATTTCCCTCAGACTGCTTTACAACACACGACACCCTCTCTGTCTTTGGACCTTCACAGTGGATTAGGAAATACCTTTAACAGGAAATGACGCCCTTGTCTCAGTCCAGACAACTGTGCTACTGTAATGAATAAAGGTGGTGCTCCTTGGTTCAGCTTGGTTAATTAGTGCATATCTTTGAGTCGTTGCCCCCTCCCAACAACGCTGTTATCGACAATTGTGATGTTTCACTAGAACCTTTTACACTGCCTCTTCAAGACAGGAGTTCAAACCGTTATGCCGCCTTGTCATTCTGTATAAACGGTACAATCACGGTATGGCGGGACAGAGTTGTTCTGTCTTTGAGCCGGCATCAGAGGTCATAACAGTGCCACAAGGACCTCTGTATAAAATGGACAGCCTGCAGGACAGGATCATGCAGGTGATGTTTTGACGATGCACTATGCATGTAACCGACAGTGGGACATTTTAGAAGTCGCTGGTAGCAGTTAGCAGCTAACTCAAAGAAGAACAGTGGCCAAAAATGTCCACAAATTTGGAAAACAATGAGGTCTGGGAGCTCCTTATCCACTGAACAGAGGAAGAGATCAGCCGCCATATGACAGACACGGTAAATGCTTGTTATTTACATGTTATTGTTTAGGTGCTGCCCTTCTTTTGCTTCCCTGATACCAGCATGCTGTCTAAGATCACACACTGGAGCAGCATGATGCCGCCGTCATTTGGTTCTGTGTAAAATACAAAGGGGGCATGAAGAAGGGACTTTGTAGCGTGATCTCTGTGTAAAAAGGGCTACTGAGAGCAGTGTCAGGAGCCAATTTGGTAGACCAACCCTGATTCATACCCTTCACCTTGATAAAGGGAGCTTCATTCAGCTGTGATTGTGACAGAGTGTGACAGAGCGGGAGGCTGTTGATGTTGGATTGGAAATGGGCCATAGTGTGAATCACTGACAACAGATCCCAACATGTCCAAGACATATTTTTTTAAACATCATGTTGTTTCCTAGCTAGCTAACCGTCTTCTGTCTTTGTTGGCACGTTGCAGCATTTCCTCTTATGTTACTGCCACCTGCAGGTCAGTGGAACAGTGTCACACCATTGGTAGGACTGTGTATCGCATCACGTGATCAAGACAAACCAAACAGGGACTGACTCTCAAAAAAGCAGCTCCATGGAGGAAACCTTTAATTTCCAACCAGCAAACAGTCTGACTGACTCCTTTACAGAACAGACAGGCTTTTATTACATCTGTCTGAGTGAAAACTGAGTCGAGGGGTCGGAAACCTGCAGCTAGTGTCCGACTTCAGGACCCAAAACTTCACGGACATTAAAAGCCACACACCTTAGAGGGAGAAATTTACATCACATCTTCCTACAGTCCAACATGAAGTCTTCAAATGACGTATATTCTGTGTGAATAACATCCAAAACACCAAAATATTCAGCTTAGTCTTTTAAGACAGGAAAAAGCAGCATTATCTCACATTTTAGGAGCTGAAATCATCAAATATTTGGTATTTTTGGTTTCAAAAGTAACAGAACAATTATCCAGTAATCAGCAAAGCTCCTGAATATTTTTCTGTCAGTCGACAGAATCGCTGCAGCTCGTCTCTGGAGACCCTCTGGACATGAGAGCAGCTGATGCTCAGGCAGCAGAGGCATGCTGGGAAGTCATAAACATCTAAATCTCTGCAGCAGGGACGTCCCAAGGCTTTCTAACGTCACATGAACGCATCATCACAGAGAGTGGCGACGTCATCGACCATCATCTGATGTCTCCGACCTTCAACAACAGAAGGTTACATCACTTCCCTCAACTCGTGGCATCTTGAGATGTAATTTCCCTCCACTGACGACATCATCACGCAGCAAACGCAGAGTTGGTGATGTCATCATTTGGTGCATTGCGTTGTCGTCATTGTGAAGAGAAACAGGCACCCTCAGGATCAGTGATGGAAATATTTAGACTTTATTTTTTCTTATTTATAGGGGACAGTTTGGCCCCCTGACTGTGTTCACACTGACACCAGAAGCTACCCAGTTCTCCCAGTCTGACCAGTTAAAACACTCTCACATAAACAATGGACTGTTTTTGCTGACACATTCTTCTTCATTGTTATGGTTGCACAAAACACCCTTAAGTTTTCCTTAAAATGTTCACTTACATTTTCATGGTTTTCTCCTTGTCTTGGTCGTATATTTAAGGAATCCCTAAACTGTTGAACAAAAGACCTTAGCAACCAAAGCAAGATTAAAACAAAAACTTATGGTACCTCTGACTCACCCTTCTTAACTGCAACATGACCGGGTTTAGGGTGATAAAGGAAAAAACTAACACACGCTGAGAAGAGTGTATGCCAACTTTGTGAGACGACAACAGGCATCACAAGTGTGAGTCCAAGCAAACAAACAATCTCCATGGAAACTATTACAGCTGTAAATCTCTTTCAATGCAGTAAATGACTTAACGTTTTCCTTAACTAAAGACACCTTTTAAGGGCTTCTGTGCAGCTGTGTAAGTCCCTGAGCTAAGGGGAAATAAACCCTAAGGTGTCATACTTCAGGAGAAAACTTAAGGTGTTTTGTGCAACCGGTCCCTGTGCTTACATTACCCACGATGCAACTGGACTATCAACAGTCCTGTCAGAGACTCGTCTGTTCAAAACCTCCTTAACCAGACTGGGAATTTAAGGTTCCTGTTTCCCAGTTACACACTAATACAGGCAGTAAATATATTCATATCTATAATGTGAAAGAAATTAGATGTTAACTTTAATATGTAACTAAATTAAACTTTGAAAATTAAAGCAAAATGTTCGTCCAAATATTATCAAGTAATAAGAAAACAACATCATACAAATATAAAACAATGGGAAAAGTTTCTCGTTACAACAAGAAACTGGGTGAAGGTTTGTTTAGTACAAGCAGCAACACGCTGCAAGCATTTGGTTTGTTGAAGCAGCTCTCTGTGCATTGAATTGTGGGACAGCGGCGTCCATCAACAGCTCACTCAGAGTTTAAAGTTTTTAGTCTGAGATTTCTCACAAAACTGAGACACAGCTTCTGTGTGGCGACTGAACTGCAGCTGCTCACTGTGTGTGTGTGTGTGTGTGTGTGTGTGTGTGTGTGATAACAGCACACACACACACACACACACACACACACACACACACACACACACACACAGTGACCTTCTCCATCACACTGACTGTTCGTTGTTTAGTAGAATTTCAATGTCTTATAACAGTGTTTTTCTTTGTTTTACTATTTTCTCATCTTCATTTTCATTTATAATTGTCACGTCACTTTAATGCGACCTTTGACCTCTGGCCTCTGACCTTCAGGTAGTTTGTGATGTTTCTGATCCAGAGTCTGATCCACAATCACAGTTTGTTTTTTCACATGAAGAAAATTTCAAATGTCACATTCAGGTATTAAGGTATAAATCCACAGATCCGCTGACTGACGTAACACTGACTTGTATTTGTCTTATTTCAGGTCAACTGATTCTGTTTGTCTTTATTTTACTTTTTGAAAACTTTTCGCTGTTGAAGGTCACAGTGATGTGTGTTTCCTAGAAAAGATGTGTCAGTGACTTTGCCTGTGTAACTGGTGGATGATAAAGGCTGTCTGGAGCTCACATTCTCTCATGTTCCCTTAGTGAACCTGCACTTTGCCCAGTGGGTGCTGATAAAGCTGTGCTGCGAGGGACCTCACGCCAAACTCCATTCGAAAAATAGCGAAAATTAAGATATCACTGCTTTTCAGCTCGTTTCAGTATTAAAACAGACAGATGTTTGACTTCATACAGTCGCACGAGTCTCCTGGTTAATTCGGCACACCAATGAGCAACTTAGTTCAGCAAGAGTATTAGGTTTTTACTGATTCAGGTTGCGCACAAACAGCTTTCTGCAGTGCACTTTGACTGGCAGAGGCAACAGCAGAGCGACACAAAAGTTGCTCTTTACTTTAGATAACGTGCAGTTTGGTGTGTAAGTGTATGCCGAATGCACCACATGCTCTCTAAAATGTATTTAAGAGCTTTAAACGAGTTTTATCAGTTGTGAATATTTCACGCATCGGTACAAAACTTTAAATTTAAATATTTCCAATGGAGTTTGGTCGGATGCGAGACTGAAAAGTAGCATCTTTCCTTACACTTTGATGAATGTGACCAGACTCCAAAACACACAAACACGATTTCACTTTGAGTTTTGTCTTCATGATGTGATGACATGATGAACACTCACCGTTCCCACAGGTCCCTTCATGAGTCCCCAGTAAAACCAGTAGGATCCACAGAAGCAGCTTCATCTTCTCATTATTTCTGACGGAGGATGTTTTTAAACCGTCGCTCACATTAATGAACCGGGTCAGCTCGGCTCGGTCCGGCTCGGCTCGGCTCGGGCTCCCACTCCCTTCACTGAAGCCTCATTTCCAGCTGGACAAACAGGATTTCCACCGGAGGAAGGAGCGAGACTGGAGGCAGCACTTTGGAGGATAAAGGGCTGAATTCATGGAGGAGAGTTTTTCCCACCGGAAACAGAGAGTTTATAAAACTGATAAAAACTAAAGTTTGTGTTTCCGGCCGCAGATTAAACCGCACAGAGTTCATGTAAAGTTTGTTATCAGACCGTGAACACTTCCACACATTGAGCTGCTCAGCGGCTCTGAGGAGGGAAAGTGACGTCAAGCTACACACAATGAAACACGAGCACACCGGAAGTGACGCCTTCAAAATAAAAGAAAAGCGCATAAATCCTTCAATGTAAACTTATAAATGAATGAATAAATAAACAAACAGATAAATAAATATTAGAAAATAAATTCATAATTTTATACACAGCGAAAACAGTTAAAATCAACCCCCTAGTTCACTGGATTGTTTTTTATTTATTCATTCATTTATTATTTATTTATTTTAATTGAAAGACTCTTAAACATTTAATAAAACCGCCAAACTGTACAGTGAACTCTTCTTATTCAAATGTGATATATTTTATATTATTAAAATTTATGAATCCCAAATTTTATAGCCTATATATTTAATTTATTATTTGTAGATTTATTTATCTATTTAAATTCATGTTCTCGTTTCTCTGTACTATTTCATGTCTGCAATATTTATATATTTATTGTTTTTATTTCAATAAAAATGTGAAGAAAGAGCATAAAAAGTCGTTTTTCACATTTTGCATTTTATTTTTTCTATTTTTTTGTATTATATATTTTATGTTACATATATTTTGTTTATTTATTTATTTATTCATTCTTTCATTCATTCATTTATCTATGTATGTATAAAATCATTTATTTTAAAAATGGTTAATTCATTCAGCTACTTTATTTTCAATTTTTATTTTATTTTTTTATTTTCACTTTACTTCTTTTAATTATTTAATTTTCTCAAGAAGCAGGCACTGTACTCATATATTTTGACACATTATGTTTAAATTAAATGCTAATTATTGCATATATGAATCCAGTTCAGGTCAAATGTCCCCAAATCAAACATTTTCCCATAGTCGTGATTAACTGAAGTCTAAATTATATTAAACTGGGCCACCAGAGATTTAAATGAAACCTCCCATTAATAAACTCTGGTGTTTTTTCCCAGAGTCACATCCTCTGAGATTTTGTTTATATTTATTTGCATCTTAGGATAAAGTTATTGACAGGGGTGTGCAAACAATCTCACAATAACAGAACCATATTTGTTTGTTAATTACATGTTGGCCTGTATTTTATTTCGTGGTAGATTCATTCTGTGTTTATCACCGTTATTTCTTTTTACACGTGTTTATATATTTATATATTTCATTTTCCAGCTGGAAGCTCAAGTGTGACACTTATCACAGTAACTGACACAAAAAACAACGACATGGTGTTATTATTATTTGAACAATTATTTATTTCCTTATTTATCATTTGAGGTAAACATTCAGTAATTCAATAAAATCACGTAACCGGAAGTGCGTGTTACATTCTGTGTGGTTTGACACTAGTTGGTGGTCTCGCTCCCTGCGGAATGTGGAGGGGGAGGAGGTGTGTGTGTGTGTGTGTGTGTGTGTGTGTGTAAAAGGGAGAAAAGGACAGAGGACTCACTGCGCATGACCGCCACCAGCTGGTGTGACATAAAATCAGCTTCACTATTTTTTTTACTGCTAATAAAAACACAATTAATATTGAAGATAATCAATTATTAGTGATTAAAAAGGTACATTAATAAGAGGGCAGACACTGCAGGGCTGGTTGGTTCAGGGGTTACAGATATTTTGTGTTCTCTGAAGGTCAGAGAGACAAAACTCTAACAACAAAACATTTGCTTTCTTCAGCTGTGCTCACCTATATTAAAACATTAAAACATCTCAAAGTCACTAACTTTATAGTTGAAAGTTACATTTCATTGTAGTGAAACTTGTGTTTCATAGAGATATTGGGAAAGTGTCCCTTCTAATGAACAGACAAAAGGAATCAGCAACATTTTGACATCAGATTTAGAAGTCTGTCTGACGTCATTTCATCACAGAGTTGGGTCTAATGTGAGCAGGGTTGGTTTGGACACTGATTTTAGAGTTTGTGTGAACCAACTGTAAAATAAACACTATTTTGAAAGATTAAAAACAACTTTTACAGCAGGGACACTCATCTTGCTTTGCACAGGGGCCACTACGTTTCTAGGAGCTGAGGGCATTGGGAGTTTAGTCCAGACCCATTTTCAGTGTGTCGAGGGTCCTCCTCTGGAACTTTGTTGAACAAGAAGTTCTACTTTGATGCTTTTTAATGCACTCTGGCACCATATCTATGTTTAAAATACAAAATACAAAAAAAATCTGTGCTTTCTAATCTAAAAATCAATCTATCTAGCCTGGTGATGGAGGTGTATTAGTTCAGGTCAGGCCTCCGGTGAGCTCCTGCTGCAGGTTGGTTGGTTGATGTCAGGTGAGAGGTGTGAACGTGGTCTCATCAAACCTGCAGTAAAACACATTCAAGCTGTCGGCCTGTTGATGGGTCTCTACAGAGAGGTCGTTGGCTGAAAACCTGTTTTTAAGATTACAAAAGGAGCTCCTCTGATCTCCTTCATCTGAGTGTTTCTGTCCTGGTTGTACAAGAGTCTGTTCCCTCTTTTCTAAGCCTCCTCCTCCTCCTCCTCCTCCTCCTCCTCTTCCTCCTAATGAAGCTGTTGTATGTGCAGGAAGGTTTAGTCCACACACACACGCATGCTCACAAAAAGTGATGTGATGTCATCCAGGTGATCAGAGCTCAGGTACAGAAACCAGTGATGGGAAACAAAAGTAATTTTCCTCATGTTCTGTGACTCAGCACAGATCTGAGGGTCCTATTTACTTCAGAATTTCTATTTCTGCTGCTTTATTCTTCTACTCCACAACATCTCAGAGGGAAATGTACTCACTTATACACATGTATCTGACAGCTTCAGTTACTTTTCTGATTAAAATTTTATACATCAAAACACACAACAGTTTATAAAACATTACGTTGTAGATGGAACCATCCAGCTGTGTCTACAGAAGGTAAAATGAACTCAACATTCTGATGATTAAAACTCAGAAGTAAAATCCAATAAATCTAAAAGTCAATCTGCAGTGTGAGAACTTCTACTTTTGGTGCCTAAAGTATAATTAAAAACAGTTTTCATTGTGATATTAATACTTTTATTTTAGTAAAAGATCTGAGTACTTGTTCCTCCTCTGATCAGCTGGACACTCAGAGGACGTTCTCGTCAGGACTGAAACAACTTCAAAAAGTTTTTTACAGTAAAATCTGTTCAAATCAACAAAAATCCTTCAAGATATCAACTCGTTAACAGATGATAAAATATCTGTAAGTATGGAACATGCTTTAGTACGTGCTTTAATAAAAGAATAAAGACAATCTGTCCTTTAAACATGCAGCTGACAGGAAGTCTGTGAGTTAGAGTTTAAGATTAAAGACAGGAAACAGGAAGTCCCAACATGGTCAATAAAACTTTAACGTGTGTGTGTGTGTGTGTTAATGTGAAATGATCCCAGAATGTTGATACATGATTAAAGGTCTTAAAAATGACAAAAGTATCACTAAATAATTACAGGAACAAATCAATTAATACAGAAAAAATAAATGCATAAATAATTCAATAAATACAGACATTATGATCTCCGTCCTCTCGGACACAGACACACAGATATATCTTTTAAAAAACATAAATTAATTTAAGACATTTATTTTTTTGCATCCTGTTAAATTCAACATTTATTTCTGAATTAAATGTATTATTTCTATATTCATGGATTTATTCCTCTAACTTATATTTAATTATTTATTGATACTTAAGTCATTTGTAATCCTCCATAAAAACTATAAATTCCTTCAATTCTCTGACACTAACGTCCTCTTCTTCCTCCTCACTGAACTCTGCTCATTATTCACATTATAAGTGTCAAACTGAGCTGAGATCAGATGAAACAAACTCATCAGCTGTTTCACACTGAAGCAGAAACTTTACAAACCTTCGTCTCAAATCCAGAAACATGAAAGAATAAAACACAGAAAGAAATTATATTAAACACCAGCAGAGAAAGTGATGTTGTGTTTGTGCGTCTGCTCTCAGAAGGATTTTAATAAATTAAATATTAATGCTGTTTCAGTTTAAATTCAGGATTCAGACGCTCAAACGTCTCTGCAGGAGCTCGTTTCCACCAGGAGGAAAACAAACTGGAGGAAAAATCAAATATATTCCAACAGTCCTCCTGCTCTGTCTTCACAATATATTTTTTTTTACTTTAACTCAACATGAGTCACGTGAACGACGTTCATCGTATGGAAATCTTTTCTGGTTTTTGCAATAACATGCAACAAAAACACTAAATTTTGAATTATAGATATTCTTCACAGCTAAAGAAATAAACCTGTTGTTTGAGAAACGAAAATTAAACCTCTTATAGATTATATACAATCAATTCCTCTTGGGCCACAATATTGGATTTTTTGCCAATATATAACAACTCATTTGGCTGATAACCAATATCAATATATCCACTATTTTTCCACACCTAATTTAGTGATCATCAAGTCTCCTCTGTAGTGGAATTAACATCATATTATACATACATGCTCTTATCGTGACAGCCCACCAGCAGATGAAGACGTGAAATACTTTTCAGTGTCTGTAATATTCAGTCATTGTGTAAAGTAAGAAAAACCATGTTGGCCGATTCTGATCGTTCATTTTAAAGCCGCTAACGATGACGTGCCGATGTTACCGTGCATCCCTAACTCCTCTCAAACACATCGACTGTGTGAGTCACATTCTATCATGTAATTTTGTTTTAATACACTTTTGTGCTGCAACGTTTCATCTAAGTGTTTCTTTTAATCTGTCTTCGTCACATTCAGAGCTTCTTCGTCTTCATGTGTTTTTGTTTCACATGAAAAATGTTCAATTATTAATAAAAGCAACATGGAGGAAGACGATAATATTAGCGTGTTTTTTCCATGATGTTAATAAGTGGATCAATAATCAGAGCTTGTTTAACTACTTTGTCAGACTTTTGATTTTCCAGAAAACATGCTATATGGCACTATTTACAGATGCTGCAAACTACAATTAAATACACTAAAAGATGATTTTATCTGCTTCTATTCACAAAGTTAAATTTTTTCCTAAGTGCTGATTATTTTCAAATTCATCTGCTAATTATTGATTA